TCGCAAAGTTTTTCTTGTTTTAATACTTTTGAGAGATTTGGGTCTGTGTTGGATCCACACTTACCCGAAGAATTCGAATAATGTAAGTCTATTTGGGCGGGAGACAGAGGTTTGGCTGAATCTACTGTTTCAAGATCAGACCACTTATTCTCCTTAGTCACAATTTGTATGATAAAGATTCGTAAGCCTGACACATTCCTTCTACTACTGTTTTGCAGGAACAAGCTCTAACCACCACAAGAAAATAATAAGAAATAATTATTATAAAATATATACTTATACTGTGTTACAGTACTCAAGATCTTGGTCTATCGGGTTATGGCCACGTGTATCCAAACTCACAATCCATCTCTCTAATAATACCCTTAGGAACTTTCTTTAGCCACAGTAACTTTTTCGAAATATCATTCGGTAAGGCAAACGATAACTCTCCTCGCACCCATAGATAACCATTCAAGTCAGTAACAACAAAAGTTCCGTCACGTTTTTCAAGTTTCATCAAAAGCTACCTAACCTGTAAGACTCCAAAAGCCAACAAACGCCACAATAAGTACGCCATCGAGCCAGAAATGATCAAGAATAACATTCACAGTGAGTGAGTGTGTGTGTGCGCGCATGACCGTCCATATTGGAACGAGAACGGGTCACACACATGTTACGCAATTAAAGCGCGTACTCATAAGACAAGGGATATAATCTGGACGACACGCAAGGATAACATTAGACGGAGCTGGTTTTCGGTAGTGGCTTCAGCTTCATTTCACGGCGTTGTTCGTGGTACTCTTGGAAACAGGGCACTATGCAGAGATTCGCTTGGCACTCTGGACAATGGTACTTCGTCTTTCTGCGCAGTATCCTGCCGTGAGCATCTATCGTGTTCCAACAGTGATTGCAGCCCAACGCTGGACCAGGACGCAAGACGGGACAATGACCGAGTCGTTGGTCACCCATCGTCTCTCTGGAGTCACGACTCGTCGTCTGAAACAAATTCGAACACAATTCTAAACATCCAACTGCTTGTTAAACGTGTATTATACCTGGGGCCACTACGAACAAAGTGTCAAGAGGTGTCTGTTGCGTGCCTGTATCACTTGATCATTATTACAAGCAGAAAGGAGGGTAATATTGAGCTACAAACAGGTGATCAAATTTCAACTGGAATGCACGATCTTCTTTCAGGCATTTAACGGAACACCCCTTTGCGAAGTCGAAAAGGAAAATTAATTTATTGCCCTACGGGCTAAGTGAATAATCAGACGGGAACTCAATCATGCATTCTTCTGTTGAGTTAATCAAAGGACGATCAGGCATTCAAAATTGAACACCTGAACCTTTTCAGACCTCAACTTTCTTTTAAGAGTAAAGAAAATATTTGATTACACATTTTAACTCAGTAGTCTGTTTAGTATGAAAAACTGATAATTTCGGTGCTTCACCTGAGGTGAGGAGGAGCTTCTTCTTAATTCGGAGGTCTTCACTCTGAGTCCTGATGTCGATCCACCGGTCTCCGTGGAGGAGGCAGTCGACGGCTCCTCCAACGGGTCCTGTTCCATTTTGATGACGGGCGCTGGTTCGACGACAATCGACGGACTAGTGGTCCTCCTGGGGAACTCTGGATTCGAATGCTGTCTATGAATCCACACGTTACCGCTGGTTGACTGTTGCTGGCTGGACAGCAACGGATGGGAGTGTTGTTTCGTCAGATAGGACGGTTGTGGGACCGTCAACAGGTTCGTTGAGGTGGTCACCGCCGACAGACCCGGTTGGTTCGCCAGGATCGGCGGCTGGGGCGACGGCGAGGAGATTCGCGGCTCTTCCCAGCTTCTCGATTGCTGCGGTAGATTCAACGTCGGCGTGGTTACGTGGATGGACGAGGAGACGATGTGGGGCGAGGACATCTCGCTATCGGGGGACAGGTGATTCGGTTCCTTCTTGATACGAGGCTGACGCATCAGGAGACGGCACCTTTTTGGACCCGCTGGTCTGCATGTTACTGGAATGAGAAAGAACTTCAGGACACAGCTAGAGTTACGATAACAAGAAAAAATCGAAGCTCCCTTTGTGAGTTGACCAAGACTGAAGATTGATGAGACCACTTTTAGATACAAAGAGTAGAGCACGATTCCGAGCCGAGTTGCCGAACAATGTTCACACACAGAAGCGAAATAGTAGCTGTGGGTATGCATATACACACACACTATACTCTGAGATTAATATGCGGGCACAGATAATTTGCATGTCACATAAACTGATTTTCTCATGTTTCCGGATTCGATAAAGTAACTATACCAGGCCGTTGTTGTCCTTATGTTGTGGTTAAAGAAAACTTTATTTTTTTCATTGACAAAGTTGCTACATAAATAAAGATCTAAAAAAGACGGATATCTTAGGTGAACGATGTTACGCCCATAGCCAGAAACAACTTTGATTGATTCTCTCTCATCGCGTTAGATTTTCTGTTTCTTTCTTTTATTAAAGACGTGTTATACATAACATTGACACAGTAAACTCGCTCTCCTCTGTATATAAAATTCGTACCGATTAAACTAGTCCCTCTCGTCCCGGCGACGATATGCCTGCGCGCGCGCGCGTGTGTGTGTGTGTGTGTAAAGAGTGTGTATACATTACGATCAACATTTTTAACATCCTATATTTACCTATTACTTTGTACAAGGTGTAGAAAAAAAAAGAAACGACAGAAACGGTGGAACACAACAGGCTCGATGTATTTTCATCGAAATATGAAGGTACTTATCACGAGATGAATACATCGAACGCATCGTGTGTAGAACAAAGATCTACTTAATGTTATTCGGTTTGTGAATAGCATATAAAAAAACTCGTGTGTTTCAAACGAATGAACGTAACAACGGCACGGAAGTTCGTCAAATTGTAAAAAGGTTTTTTTCTTTCGCGATTTAATTAAAATTTGTTTTACAATTCGACGACCACGAAAGTGTTTCCTCGTTAGTTTATTTGAAATGTGTAAAAAGGAAGACGATAACAAATTGCCATTTTTCCCGGATGTTAAGTACGCTCGAAAACTACGAAAGTCGGCGCGTCGATTTTAAATGCATTATTTTTCTGTATAAATCATGCAACTAAAATGATTCTTATCCGCGCGATTGGTGAATCAATTACGATGATAGTCACATCGTTGGTCGGAATTTAATTGCGGCTAGTTAAGTGCTAAACAGGATAAATCCCTCTTTAATTAATTCTAGTGTTCTAAGTGTTTATAAATTTTACAGCGATTCCTTGTTACTCACAACGTAACAGAACGAAACCGTTTTATAAATAATTCCTATGTTGGAAAAGAATCGATTTAAACTTTAAACGAACTGACAACACTTTTATGTCAATTAAAATAAGGTTGTCGGGTCGGCAGAACTGTTTCTCAATACATGTATTACTTTATTCGTTTTCGTATATTAGTAATATAAGTATACATGTTACAAAACAGTTTCTCGTACGTATTGCACTTGTTAATGCACAAAGATAAAGATATCTCTGGAGAAACACGTGTAGACGATCGCGTATTTTACAATCCGAACTAATCGCAAACTGTATAAACTAAAAATTACCGAACAATTGCTAACAATAATTTTTTACTAGACCTCAAAAAAGTCTTTAGTCGACTTAACGTTCAAAATCCCGCGGTTTCTATTTGCGGAAATCTCCGCATTTAAACTTCTCATCATACCCTGTAACCTGTTCACCTACCCACCTAATGTATCAAAGAGAATAATAATGCTGAACGTGCATTCAGCGTAAGAAAATAATCACAAACAAGTACGTTATTTGAACTCACAAGTTTTTTTGTTGTGCAATAAATTAATTTTCACAGTTGTGGTTGCACTTCGCAAACCAGTTGTAATACATGTATTGACGAGGAATCGTGTTCTATTTAGCTCTGTTCGTAGATAAGTAATCATTTATTTCGATAGGATGTATTGAAGTGTGTGCAAGTACACATGATATATTTGTCTAGCTAATAATTTCATATCACTACTTTATTCACTATGTACAAAAGTGTTACGGTGCCGGTGTGTCGACTCGAAATTGGTCGAACAAAATCGAGTCATTATTCTTTTTTGTCCCATGAACGCAAATACGGCTGTTTCACACTAATGTTAGATTTTAGTCGAAGTTTTCGCAAGGATCGTGTGTGACGATAAAAATGTTTAAAAAAAAAAAAAAAGAAAATATTCGATACTGTTTTGTCCTATGAACATCTTAAAAAACGAACAAACGTGCTCTATCACATCGTGGTACTCAAATTCTGAACGATTACGTTGTTCCTATTAAAGGAACCTCGTACAGAACTTGATTTGTCAGCCGTCGGAAGTTTCGGCAGTGAACAAAACAACTAACATAAAACGTGTTGTTGGCATGCTACATGGAACTCGTTTAACAATTTTTAATTCTTAATTTACAAATCGGACACTTAGTTCTTAGAAATTACTTTAAAAAATGCTCAAGCAACAGACAAACTTTTCTACCGGTTGTCGTTAAAAACAGAATACGAATGAGTTCCACTACCAGACACAACAACGACATCTTCCGTTACACGCGTGTACCCTAACGTAAAAAACCTGCGGTGTACATATAAAGTATGAATCGCGATTTCTTTTCCTCATTCAAAATCTCTGTGTTATTTCAAGCTTCTTATAGGTGTACATTACGAACTATACAAAAACGTATCTAAAAAAAACCGTGTTTCTCTGCATTTAACACTTCGCGTTGCATGCGTATCTTCCTCCCTCGCGTTTATCACACTGTTACTCAATAAACACAGTTGACACGTTTCCGCGGTCAATTTGAACCATCGGCGATGCAACGCTTCAATAAAACACGTATCGATATCGGATGTGTGATAACAGAACCGATATGCATTATCGACGGTACACACTCGGTTCGTTGAACATGTGAATGCATTAATCCACGATCTGTCGAGTAACTGTACAACACCGAATGAACATTCGATTCAACATCACCGTTTCACGTTCGGTTCACGAACACGAAGATCTTAATACTTTTCAAGCTCGTCTATACAGTTGATGGGGGCGCCGATCGTGTTCGGGCAGGCTCACATCGCGTTGTAATTAACGCCGTGCAAATTGATCGGCATCGTGGTGCTGGGCAACGCGTAATCCGTATGCCTGCTATCGATATAACCGCTCAGCATCGTATGGGGGCTGTGAGTGGTCAGCATGGTGTGCGTGCTGTGGGTATTGTGTGTACTGTGCGGCGTAGTGGGCGGTCCCATTGGTGTGGGACTCTGCGAATTGACCGGCTGTGCGGACTGCGACGGTGGCGGTGAGGAATTGACCTCTTGTTTGACCCGCGACTTCAAGCTCGGCCGATTGTTCGGGTAGCCCCGTTTTTTGTACTCCAGCCACAGCGTTCGATTGTTCACACCGAACATCCTGGCCGCCTTGCAGAATCCAATGCCGCCGTAACGTACGGCGTCCAAAGCTCTGATAAAGTTCTCGTCTGCCTGCGGATTCGTCGAACGTTTCCGTTTGATCGTGGTCTGCGGACTGGCGCATGGGCTCTGGCAGTTACTCGGACACTGGGCGGACGGTGACGGTCCGCCTGACGACGCGTGCTGCAGCGTCCCGTGCGAGGAGTTTGGGTAACTCGTCAGGGCGCAACTAGAACCAGTCGTGCTGGTACCAGAATACTGATCGCTGATGCTCGAGGAAGCTGTTATTTCGGGCGTGGTAAATGCCGATGACGCTTGGATCGACAGATTCGTTTGACACGAGGACAGAGCGAAACGTGGATATGTGTGCTCCATAATAGTCCATTGCAATCCTGTGGAACAGACCGGTTCATCGTTGGTCAGAGCACAGGAATTAATTTCAACTGGCTATATATGTATGCTTGTTTCATTAAAAATGCGACGATAGATACTAGTTATTGTGTGTGTCGTGTAGTATGTATGGGATATATACTTATATAGAGAGAGAGAGAGAGAGAGAGAGAGAGAGAGAGAGAGAGAGAGAGAGAGAGAGAGAGAATTACAGAAGAAACTATATTCGAATAAGAAGAATCTTATGAAATGATATTAAATTGTATCTTGTCGGATTCTACCAGTGAAATGTTACGCATTTGTAACAGGTATTCAATCGTAACGGCACAAGAGTGTTGGTGAGATAATCGATTGATTGAAAGGTAATTCTGCCATAATTAAGTTGTTTTAGAACTGAATTGTCGAATTCGAGAAATGAATTACCTAGTTGGAATGAAATGTAATGCTTTATGCTACGGTGTGTATAGAAAATAAAAAAGGAATAATGCTAAGCTGAAAGCAGAAAAGAATGGAAAAATATTTGTAAATCTATGAAAGTAAATGGTATATGTATGAATATATCGAGGACAGAATTGTGGCATGGCACAGATACATTTTAAAGCACATTATCTTCCATATCAAATATAGGAAAAGTGTATGACTTTGTTGAACTGAAGGACAGAGCAAGGCACACATACACACTCGACAATGTTAAAGGGCCGATTTGACTGTCCTCTGATGAACATTATACATTGTGTGCTATGTATCTGTGTACCATGATGAATTTCATGAATAAAACTAGCCTTAAGAATTTGCACAATTAATTTTCATCTTTTTTCCTGAACTTTCGCTCTATTTTCATGTCAAACGTCTGTTGATTTTCCTTGTGCAGTACATTTAAACGCATCTGTGCCAGCATATAATGTGTGTAAGTTTTGTTCCTCAACATGCAGTTTTAATACCCACCACACTTTGTGTAAATTGCACTTAACTACCAAATTACGAAGGTATTTGCGTGGGAGATATAAATCATGCATTGTTTGGTACCTATTGCAATACTCTTCGAAGACTGAGTAATGTTCTCATATGTAATTATTAACTGTAATCCTATATTTGTACAATATATTAACACTTAGCCAACCGCGCGCGAAACGCCGATTGGGACATCTCCCCATTCGGTTGGCTAAGTGTTAATAAAAAGTGTTACAATTCTTATCTTTAACAATTTTATACACAATATATTACTCATTGTACACCTTCACATGACTGCAGTCACAAACACTGCATAAAAATATTTTCTAAAATCGCCGCTCATAGTCTCATAATTATCAGTCATATAAGAAACATGATCTTTGCTTCAATACTTATATACAATTGGACCATAATTCATGCAGCATAAAAAGAAGCAATAATTTTAATTAGCATAACATCAGTCTTGTTTATAAACACTAAATTTACTTCAATGTATATAGGATCTTTTTTTTTTACATCATTTTGCAACCCTGATTAAATCAATATAGTTACACACATGACAAAAAATTACTTACCTTGATGTGCAGGTGGTTGCGAAGAAATTGAACTCTGTGCTACATTTCCTCCTGATTGTTGACTTACATCTTGTATTGAACCATCACTTTGCGCTGGTGTGGTAGCTGAACTGTTCTCCATGTTACTCATCTGAAATAGATTGTACCATTGTCCACCTTCATCTGCTCGACGAATGTAAACACAAAAGCCAACATAATGTACTTACAATTGATATCTGATCTTCATCAATGCTGCCTTGAGATTCTGTATTGGTATTCACAGGTCTCCTGAGGTTTTCACCAACTTCTTGTGACACTATCAGAGGCTCTGGTTTTACAATATTGGTGGCAACTAAAGTGATTTCATTAATCTCTTCTGTCTTGTCACCAGACCCAGATGTCGATCCTGTGGATGATTTCCTTAATCTCTTCCTACGAAATGATGGTGACAATGGAGATGGACTAGGGGAACAAGAGTCTCCACGATCTCCTCCTCCAGGCTCACTGCTACCACTAGGCCACTTTGTCAAAGATGGAGTATGCATTTCTGCTAATCCTTTGATTTTTAAGCTTTCTGCAGTCTACTCAAAGAGATACAAGACAGTTATGTTACTAATGTTTTATTAGATGGATCTAAATAAAAAAAAAAAATTTGAGTCACCTTTATAATTGATGGCAACTGGTCCTGTGATATGTTTACTTCACCATAGTACATAAAATCAACCATGATCTTTAGATCGGAAAATTTTACATCTTTTAATATAACAATTGGATGCTGACACGGATTAACAGTGAACAGTGACTGAAAGTATGTACTGCACGCAGACAGTACAACTTTGTGTGCCTGCAGCTGCCTGCCCTCAGCAGCCAGTGTCACATCCACCAGTGTCTCATTGTTCAATAAATTTGAGAACACCGAAATGAAATTAGGCTGATGATTGTTCCACCGTAAACAGAACTGTTGCATCGACATTTTAATAGATTGGTGAATATCCAGGAGTTGTAACTACACCTGCAAAATCATTAATTGCTTAGCAAATCGTATGCTTGACACTCTGTAAACAAAAGGAAACAATCCAAAAACAAAAAGTGATTTGTGACGAGCACGCAATTGTTGATGTTCCAAAACAATTGTAAACATAAAAACTAATCGCGGCAAACGGAATATGATTCCTATCAGCGATTCGACAGGATTAAACTTAATTGGAAGACACTCTTGTCATCGACAGAAGCTCCGATCGAATTTATGACTTCACCCCGCAGTCAGACGAATTGTCATTCCCATGAAACATACGAGCCGACCGTCGAATTGACGAGACGCGTTGTGCAGAGTCTTGGAACACGGAAAATAGAAGAAAAATCTCACACACACACAAAACACACAAGCACACACACACACACACACGCGCAATACGGTTACGATCCTTCGGCGCAGAACAAATATATTTAGACTTGCCACGGGGATGATCGCGAAAAAAGAGACAAGCGAGTTAATAGAATTGCTCACTTGGTCCGTACAGGGGGTTCCTCGAGGCGAATAAAGCGTTGATCGAGGTGCGTTGATATAGTTATCAGCAGGCCGTTTCGAAATCCGTCGATCCGGTCTTATAGTTTTATTAGGAAAAAACAGAGTTCACTCGCCGCCGCTGCCATGGATTCGACGAAATTTTCCACAACAGACTCCACCAGTGACGCTTGTGTAATTCACAAATGACGTCATAGACAAAAATGACGGGGGCTAAGACGACGCGCGGCAAATCTGGCCGAGAACTCGTGCCGACGTATATTTTGACGTATCGCGAAAAATTTCTCATGCAATCGACAAATACAAGATCTTATCAACGTGCGTCCTTAGAAAATCTAACTTTGATCAATATAGCGGCCACGCGATAGTGACATCTGGCGAGGATCTGTCAAGTACTATGACGCTATATCTTTCCGATGAAATACTTTTCATGCGGAAGCACTCCTTTCGTTTACGTATGTTAGTACGTGCATATATGTATATATTTTCTAGGGAGGAGGCATGCACGCAGGATATTAATATCATTTCTGTTTGTATAAATAGTTAAGGAGCCGTATAAGATGCCGTGCAAAATTGAAATGACCAGTGTTTATTGAAATTATAAGTATTTTACTTCATCACAAAGAGTATATCATATTACACTATGTGGACACGTTCAATAATACAATTGGATATATTCCATTTCACACAGTGCGATGACGAGGATTTCTATTTAGTCGATTGAAATTAAATAAATAATTATAAACTTTCGTCCTCTTTCTCTCTTTCTGTATCTCTCAGTTTGATTCATATCGGATGTGATCTTGAGAGAAAAACCAACGGTTTTTTTTGTACGTATGTATGTGCTATGAGTAGACCGCGAATATTTAGCATTTATAGAATGATTAAAAGAGTTTAACGAGGTTTTCCTTCCAACTTTCAATTTGATGTAATCTTGGATGTAGTAAACAATTAACCCATAAAAATTCGTATTTGCCTAAATATTCGCAATCTAGTTGTGGGTCGTGTATACCGATCGATTCAGAATGTACAAATTCGCTTTTTGAGGCAACGCAGAGCGTGGTCCGTCGTTACGCCAGGAGGAAAATCGTTCTGTTAAAACGTATATAGATAGGTATGTACTCTTGCTATTGCAGAGAAATTCGTGCGATGGTTCTTTGCGGATTTGTATTCGTTGTATATAGGAATTATAAAGAAAGTATAAAATAAACGAAACATGACATGTATACATGTATATAAATACTGAGGTATTGTATTGACAATAAAATTGTAGAAACGAGGTGCGTGTAGATCCATATTGCCAGTCTTGGACATCACTCGGACATACAAGGAACTCAGAAATTGAATTTCATCGAATCGCGCTTGAGGAACGATACACGGGTACAGTACAAGAACAAGAATTACTGTAATCTTTCCTAACTGCGAATGGACCCTTGTTTTGGGGGTTGTACTTATTGTTAGATAACAATGTTAATTTCACTCGTCAAAGTTCTCATATAACAATCTGTTATCATAAATTTGGATATAGCGATGCATAGTGTTTCATAAAATGTGGATACATCCATAAGTGAAAGATCATAACCCCGTTTACGAATTTAATTCGAATCTCGATTCTAGTAGATTCTTCTGAATCGCGGGCCAATATTAAAAATGTTTATGTACTAAATTCCCCTTTGTAATCGTGTCTCCATTTTATGAAACACCCTGTATCTATAAATTTCTCTCGCGAACCCGATTTCTATTAACCATCATTTACTTTAACACGCTGTTCCTACAATGTATTAATGAGCCCTTCATCCATCTTACAATGATTTAAATGATACAAAAATAACTCGTTAATTATTATGCGGAACTGAGTCGCAAAGTCTATAGATAAATTATGTAAATTATGTACAAAAAAAAAATTATTATGCGGCGGTTACGACGATTTCCACATTGAATCGGACATCCTTGGAAAAAGCCTTTCATTTATTTCAAAAGAAATAAAGTCATATATGTATATACACATACATATACATATGTACACATCATTACTATTCGCTTTTTAACACACCGAACCGCTTAAAAGTACATGCACACTGATCGATAAAGAAAGTACACAAGGAGTAACAATGTCCGATTCAACATGGAAAATCCCTTCTAACGATTTAAACGCAACGTAATACTTAAATACTGTGCACGAAGATAGAAAAAGAAAAAATATATATATATATTGAACACACACACACGCGCGCGCGCGCGCGCACACACACACACGCACACACACACACATCAAGGAAATTGATTTACGTTTAGACAGAATCGAAGTTCTGTGAGGAGCCGATAAAACACATTCGAACACTGAAGTACTTGGTTCTCTTGTACTCTGAGAAACGAGAAATTTTCAACAATACTGTGTCAGTACAGTAGGCTTTCGCTGCTAGGCCGTGATTTAGTGACCAGACTGTGTAAGGCTCGTATTTCGTTCTCCGTAAGGTTCGGAGGCCCGAACAGAAATTCCCTGCGAGAATTCGGATTGGACAGGAGATCCTGCATGTTCTCGTAGGTTAGCACCAGATAATGCAGAGACGTTTGCGTTAAATTTACCTTCCTAGCTAACGTCCCGGTAACGTGAACATCGTCGATCCAGAAGTACGGTTCCCGCTGAGCTTCGCGATACAAAAGGAATACGCTATCGGGTGAATACAATATAGCCCAACCGGCACAATACGCGGGATAATATCTACCGGGATACTCGAGTGGGGAGACTCTCCATTTCGAGCGCCAGGATCTCTTCACGGTGCCCACGGATAGGAGGTCGCAGAGGATCAACCGTCTGGCGCCCCACGGCGACAGATCACGCGTCAAGAAATCCAACATGGCGGGTATATGAACAAAAACATCGTCATCTAATTTTAGTATATATTTGGCACCTGAAACAAAAGAAACAGAGTCAGTTATAATTTGTCAATCCCCCGACTATACTCTAGTTCACACGAGCTCTTCCTCGACCTCGACCCCGTCTGTCTGTGGATACACAATACACTCTCGGGACCAACCGGTAAGATGGGATCATCACTTTTTATCCGAACCATAACTTACTTGGACAATGATACGTAGCCCATTTTAACGCCATCACATGCTTGTACGTCATGTTCCGATAGACATCGAGAAAATTGCCTTGTATCAAATCTTTGTATTTCCTATTCTCCCCTTCCAGCTGGGCCTGGTACTCGTCCGACGAGCCGACCAGAAACAGAAGCGCCACGGCCGGCGTGTGTTGACCCCACGTCTCACGTACGACATTCCGTTTGAGAAGATTCTCGGGCGCCGAGTGTACCAGCATCAGCACCAACGGACTCGACCGATTGCACGGATCATGGTTGATCGTGAACCTGAAGTCCTTTATATCGATCAGGGTCGATCTGTCACCGAACGGAAGCTCGTTCAGCAGATACGGCTGCGCGGACGGTGTAGCGTTCCCCGGGAACAGAAGTAAATAACCGGGTGCTGTGGCGGCGCTGGTATACCGGTTTGTGGATCCGGAGAACCCCTCGATGTGCAGCCAGAACGAGAAGCATGCAGTCAGCGCCAGAGCGACCACAAAAATTAGGGTGCATGGCGACGAAGCGGAGGTATGAAGCCGCCGCTTATCCAGCATACTAACGAGACCCTCTCATCTTACACTCTTGATGGAAATGTTTTATCGGAACTTTGGCAGAGGGTGATAAGATTGACCCTATCTGATAAGACAACGTCCAGTGCAAATTTCCTGTGGAAGAACACACTGGACAATGGAAAGAGACCATGTATGTAGGTTTCAAGAGGGTACGATGACACGTTGTTTGTGGGATAGGGACGTCGTGGTATGCAAATACACTCGGGGCTAAAGAAACATTTATAATAGATAGATGATCCAGTCAATATGGCAAGGACGGAGCTAATTAAGCTTTTATTTTCCTTTGGAACCCGATAGAGCCCCAATCAGGATGAACAAATTCCCGGACGAGGCTAGCTCCGATAAATTCATGAAAAATTTACATTTCTCAATCGATCATTTTCACGCGTGATATGTAAAAACTGTGGGAAGTAATTTTTCTCTTTTCAACTTAGACACTAGTGTTGTGTCATTCATAGATTAATATTTCGAACGCTGCTAATCACTTGAGGTGTCTTATTGTATAAGTATAAGTAGTTCGATCGCATGGCGAAACATGTCACGTGTCACGCTGATCACGCAACGAATTAATTCGTTCGAATCCCGATCGATCGGTCGATCGATCGATCAATCGACAGATATGTTCATTGTCTCTGCGATATCATCTTAATTATAAATGAATGTTACGTACGGTGTATTGGAGGTATCTCGCGAGTGAAAGTATTAGCAATACGATTAACGATTTTCCAGATACCTTGAACTAACGGTCTCGCGTCACTTTAAGGAACGTGTCCGTCTCTTCACAGAGTGGATGTTAATATTCTTTCGTGTCATCGAACATATTTAGGTGTTTATACGTATCGAATCAGCACAGACATGTACCGGCATCGGTCCGGTCATCCGACATTCTTGCGAAGAATATTTTCTCAGACACGGTCACGTGCTTATCGTACACTTTCTTTTTATTTTATTTTCAACCTTTTTAGTCAGTTCAGTGATTGCGTCGGAACGGTGCCGATACGAAACTGTTCTGCGTCGCGAACACGGATAATATACCGAAGCTGTAGATTTCGCACAGCCCTGCAATAGGACTGCGGTGGGCATTACCCGGGGAGCTTGCTTCCCGAATACGCGACTAACCGACAACTGTTCGGACGTCAGCGTGCGCATTGAGTGCATTATCAATCGGTTCGGAAAAATCATGTTTATCAACTGATATTATCGACCTATTAAAAGTAGTGTCACTTAGTTTGCCCAAGATCGGAACGCCTACTTTTACTATTTTTGTCTGATAACATATCGAAGGTTCAAGGAACGAGGGGAATTTCCAATAAAAACGTCTCATACTGACATCGATGATTTAATCTTTTCACACGGTATTTATTCGTATCATTGATAAATAAATAATAAATATAATCATTTCCTCTTTTCATCAGTTATTTGAACGAGTATCGTAAAGGTTTTACCTGACGTGTTATCGCGTTTAAATTTTGAAACATAATAGTTATCTCACTTTTGCCATCTTGGACATCATCGGTAGAATCGACGGAACTGTAGCGCGTAATCGAAAGTAAACACAACTGAGAGGGAGTATTTTTGGACCGTGGGTTTTAGCATAGAAACAAACACACAGTCAAGTACCCAACACGTGTACAGTCCTCTGAACGTTACATGCGTACACGACGACTTACGACAGTGGCGGCAAGAATTATTTGATCGTTACTTCGGATGCACTTTAATCGCTTACAGGCATACAAAACGGAACGTTTGCTGCACTTTGTATCTTTTAATATAACCCCCGACACAGAAATATCAATATTTGTATTTCTACGCGATAAAGACATAACAACGTGTGCGTTTTGATAATAGCACCCCCCCCCCACATTACAGTTACAATATTGAAAGACTACAATACTTTACAGTGATAAATGGTAATAAATGGAAATATTACATACGTTCGCAACCGTGTATATTACTTCGTGCGTACAAGTGTATGTATATTGTTGTGAGTGATAAGTCACTATAATTTATTTTATCCCCACTTGTCCGGGGAAAAATGAATTGTAAATTATATTAACATAAACAGGTGTTTCTACGTCAGATTATTTTTCCATTCGTTTCGTTGAGTCACACGAGTCCTTCCCTACGTCTTTCAAACATCTTCTGTGTAATTAATCGTTAAGTAGTTCTAATGTATTTCGAAAAACGAATTATACGGCGACTAAAATGCGGATGTGAACGTAACAACAACTTTCACCGTTGGTATTTTATTTAAAGTAATTCGAACGTGGTCAAAACCTAATTCTCCCTTGAGCCATTATAATATTATTCGCGACAATTATGGAAACCTGACTTTACCAGTTTACAGTACTGTCTAATATAGTATAACGTCACAGAAAGTCTGTCCGACGGAATGCGTTAAATAATTAAGCGGGGCAGTGTGTACAACCAAGGTTTAAAAACGTCGTTAACTTTATCGGTCTCTCTCTCATCCAATGTCACCATTGAGCGGTGCACATGCATACTATTAACCGACAAGCACTACAGAAAAATCATTACAATGCTGAATGAATATTTCATAAAAGTGGAGTCGCACGACAAAAGAATGATTCGAATGTGACAGCGACATAAGTATTCAATGTCGATTATTCGTAACCAATAGACAACAATAGATGTTTGTAGACATTCAAATTTTTCACAGCACTTTTCGAAAACGACAGGCAAACGGAAAGCGATTTTCTTTATCAACGGTTCCATTATGGTTGAAAATGGAGACATTATTTTTTTATACACATTTATGGTTTCTATTCCATTACATTTTATATGCTCTAAATACGTTGTAAACACGTAAATACGGCCATGTCGGTGCTGTTTTTAAACTTCAGTGTTTACAAATTCGAATAAATTTCAACGACGTCTGAAATGTACCGGATAATACAGTAAAATGCAAAGAACAAGAAAATTCTTGAAATGGGCGGTTGTTCGTTGGTAAGTGGATAGGAAAGAGTCAAAGAAAGATAGAAAAAATGATAGTCACAACTTACATGCAGTGAAAAACTTTCAGAATTCCTAAACATCCGCCGCAACGGTGAATATTTTCTCTTGCACATTCGGCGGGAGTGACATCGAAGCCCCCGAAGACGCCGTAATGTAACGCGATCACAGAGTGATTTGAGGTTATCTCATACGAATGTATTGTTGACGATCCGCCGTTACGTCCAGCCAGCGGCATATCACGAAGTCGTTCGGAAAAAAGCGCGACGCATGTCCACATGAGGATCTCCGCGTAGGTGTTTCAACAGTTCTGTTTCTTTTTCTTCCTGACACCCCTCATCTTTTCCTTTCTATTTGTTTGTTTAATCGAGTATCTTCACACAAACAAGAGGACTCAGACCATGTGTAGAAAAATTGACTGTGAGCAACTGTGAGGTGAAGTCAGGGGAAAACTTGTACCCAACACAGCTCAACACGGGCGAATTCCGGTTTGGTCGTGGGCCAACGAGATTAAACATGATTGTACTTTCGAAATTCGAACCCCTGGATGCCCATAGGCATAGAAATATAGAAAGCGGGCACGGTCGTATACGACTGCGGTAGTAGCTTGGTAGGAGGGGTCATAGAACCCCCGGCCTCGCGTAACATGCCCAGTGTGTGTGAGGGTGTGTGAAAGTGGGGTCATAGAACCCCAGGGGAATGCAGAAGAGACCCCGTATGTGTGAGATGTATGTACATATTTATTTAACACCAATATCTTATATTACGTATATCGTATATAGTTTATACATACGTTTATGTTTATATGGTTTACATTTTATATTAAATATTTAAATAAATACATAAAGTATAGTATTGTATTTTATTCTCACTCAACGCAGAAACAACTTTTGTGTTGGGTATCAAGGATAGGAAAATATAATCGAAACAACTAGGTATCGATAGTTTTGTTTTGATTACGAGTAAGTATCGATACCTTGGTGGTATCGATTCCACCTTATCCGTGATATGTTTCTCGGTTAGTTCGCATTTGGACAGCTCTTACACCGTTATACGGGTAGTTTTCGTCTAGACAAAGCACTCGATTTGTAGCTGGAGGAACGTAGTTTGATCCACTGTCATTGATAGTAACAATAAACAACCAGAACACTGTTAAAATCGCATTAAATCGCGGAATACCACTATTTTTTCGACCGGTGGCGCCACCCGTGGCAATTCGCTGAAACTGTTAGCCAAATAATACCGACAGGTGAGTAAAAATTCATAGTGATGGAAAAATGCGTATATCTCAGTAATTAAATGCTCAAAATGAACGACGTTAGTCTCAAATTAGTCCAGAAGACTTAATGCATCGACCCCATACTGCAGAACCCTGGAATTGGTAAAATTATTTATGCCTGTATTAACGCTGAACTTTATGTTTTGTTTTATAACATTTTTCTTCGTCACGCATTAGATTCGATATTCAAGGAACGTAGATTCGTTCTGTCTAGCTGCTGGGTACCAGTGATTACAAGAACATTGTTATAATCACATTTGTTTGAAACAGTTGACACTGTATCTCGTCATGCGTTCGCCGTTTAGTTCACTTCGGACAACGATTACAACGTTATACTGACAGCTTTCGTCTTGACCAAGCCTTCCATTTATAGCTTAAAGAACGTAGATTAATCTCCTGTCATTGAAAATAGCAATAAACGACCAGAACACTGTTAAAATCGCATTTAATCGCGGAGTACCACTATTTTTTTGAACGGTGGCGCCATCCGTGGCGAATCGCTGAAACTACTAGCCAATTATATGGCTAGCAGTTTCAGAGTTACGCCACGGATGGCGCCACCAGTAGAAAAATAGTGGTACTCCGCGATTAAATGCGATTTTAACAGTGTTCTGGTCATTTATTGTTATTTTCAATGACAGGAGATTAATCTACGTTCTTTCAGCTTCAAACTGAATGCTTGATGAAGACGCAACTTGTCCATAGAACGTTGGAACAGCTATTTAAAGTGAACTAAACGGGGTACGCATGGCGAGATACAGTGTCAACCGTTGCAAACAAATGCGATTTTAACAATGTTCTTGCGATTACTGGTTTCCAGCCGTTAGAGAATAGTAATCTACGTTCTTTAAACTTCGAATGTAATCCATGACGACGAAAACTGATGCTCGTTTAGCAGTGTAAATCCGATCGAAACCTGTGGCAAGTACATAACCACTAAACAGGCAACACTTTTCTTCGTCATGCACTACATTCGAAGTTTGAAGAATGTAGATTAGTACCCTATAACGGCTGATTCGTCTTGACCAAGCACTCAACTTGTGGCTGAAAGAACGTAGATTAATCTCCTGTCAGTGGCAATAACAATGAACGACCAGAACACTGTTAAAATCGCACTTTATTTGCAACGGTTGGCACTGTATCTCGTCATGCGTACCCCGTTTAGTTCACTTTAAAAAGCTCTTCCAACGTTCTATGGACAAGTAACGTCTTCATCAAGCATTCAGTTTGAAGCTGAAAGAACGTAGATTAATCTCCTGTCATTGAAAATAACAATAAATGACCAGAACACTGTTAAAATCGCATTTAATCGCGGAGTACCACTATTTTTTCGACTGGTGGCGCCATCCGTGGCGTAACTCTGAAACTGCTAGCCATATAATTGGCTAGTAGTGTCAGCGATTCGCCACGGATGGCGCCACCGGTCAAAAAAAGTAGTGGTATTCCGCAATTAAATGCGATTTTGACAGTGTTCTGGTTGTTTATTGTTATTTTCAATGACAGGAGATTAATCTACGTTCTTTCAGCTATAAATGGAGTACTTTGTCTAGACGAAAGTTATCCGTATAACGGTGTAAGAGCTATTCAAAGTGAACTAACCGGGGTATGCATGACGAGATAAAGTGTCAACCGTTGCAAACAAATGCGATTTTAACAATGTTCTTGCGATTACTGGTTACCAGCCGTCAGAGAATAGTAATCTACGTTCTTTAAACGGTGTATCTAATGCAAAACGAAGAAGAACCATGCCCATTTAGCGGTGTAAATGCTTTCGAAATCTTTTGCATTTGGGGTTGCCGCCTCATAAGGGGCTACGGTAATACAGGCATAACTAATTTTATTAATTCAGGGGTTCTGCACTATTGGGTCCATGCATTAAGTCCTGTGGGACAATTTGAGACTAATGACGTTCATTTTAAGTGTTTAATTACTGAGATATTTGCATTTTTCCATCACTAGAAATTTTCACTCACCTGTCGATATAATTTGGTTAGCAGTTTCAGCGAATTGCCACGGGTGGCGCCACCGGTCGAAGAAATAGTGGTATTCCGCGATTTAATGCGATTTTAACAGTGTTCTGGTTGTTTATTGTTATCATCAATAACAGCGGATTAATCTACGCACTTTCAGCTACAAATCGAGTGCTTTAGCTAAACGAAAGCTGTCCGTATAACGGTGTATGAGCTGTCCAAAGTGAACTAATTGTGGTACGCATGACGAGATAGAGTGTCAATCGTTGCAAATAAATTGCGATTTTACCAGTGTTCTGGTCGTTTATTGTTATTATCAATGACATGAGGTGAATCTATATTCTTTAGGCTACACGTCGAGTGCTTGTTCAAGTCGAATGCTGTCCATATAACGCTGTAAGACCTGTCTAAATATGAAATAAACGAGGAGTGAAACGATCCATATCTTGCAAGTTTCTGTATACATAATATCCCAGAAGATGTGTTGCATACATAGGTCCACATATGTAGGTCTATTCTATACCTCGTCGGTGGTTGTACATTTTCATTAGAGATTAGGGACCCTGTAATTAGATATTAATTTATTATTATAAATAAACTTTCTACTGCGTTTCCCTAGTCTACGCGAGACAAGACCCCTAGGATTCTATAAAAATTCGCACAGTTCATGGTTAAAAGTTCTTAAAAGTAGTTAAATACCTACCGATTTGTTACTGTCTGTGACAGATTTGGTTATAATTTAACGCTTCCGTCTATAAATGTAAAGAAACTTGCCACTAGTATATAAGAAAATATGTGTGATTCATGAATTAATATATATTTGCCTTTTTTTTAAACAGCTTCACATTATAACCTGAGGACTGGTTGCATATTTTTAAAGTATTAAAAACATTTATTAGTATTTAAAATGGTAGTGAGGCAGTACAAGGAGGAGCTGAATTACATAGAGCAAATAAATGATACATGCTGGAGGATAAAGAAAGGTTTTCAACCTAACATGAAAGTACGTACTTTCATCTAATTTCTCATTTTTCTTACTTAAAATGAATAATTCTATAGCGGACTCCAAATACTTTATGTACATTGTTATAGGTTGAGGGCGTGTTTTATGTGAATACTACATTGCAACGCTTAATGTTTGATGAACTACGTAATGCATGTAGACCTGGTGTAGTAGGAGGTTTCCTTCCTGGAATGAAACAGATTGCCAATGTGGCTGCACTTCCTGGAATTGTATGGAGATCTGTTGGATTGCCCGATGTTCATTCTGGCTATGGTTTTGCCATTGGTAATATGGCAGCATTTGATATGAATGATCCAAAGTCAATAGTATCACCTGGTGGTGTAGGATTTGATATTAATTGTGGAGTACGTTTATTGAGAACCAACTTGTTTGAGGAGGATGTCTTACCTGTAAAGGTATTATCTTATGTGTCCTTTCTTAGGCATTTTATAAAGTATATTGTATATATAATCGAATGAACATTAATAGGAGCAACTCGCACAAAGTATGTTTGATCATATTCCTGTTGGTGTTGGTTCAAAAGGAATCATACCCATGAATGCTAGAGATTTAGAAGAAGCTTTGGAAATGGGCATGGACTGGTCCCTTAGGGAAGGTATTTTCTTCGATATTTATTACAGTCAGTTGTTTTTTCATTAGCATAGTTCATTCCTTAACTCTATGCAGGTTATATCTGGGCTGAGGACAAAGAACATTGCGAGGAATATGGTAGAATGCTTAATGCAGACTCATCGAAGGTATCAATGAGGGCTAAAAAGCGTGGACTACCTCAGGTAACAAACTTATGAGTTTGTTTATTCCAAACAACAATCGTAAAAGGATTATCTTTTAGCTAGGAACACTAGGAGCAGGAAATCATTATGCTGAGATTCAAGTGGTGGAAGAAATTTATGATAAATGGGCAGCATGTAAAATGGGCATTGAAGAGAAGGGTCAAATATGTGTAATGATTCATTCCGGGAGCAGAGGATTCGGTCATCAAGTTGCGACTGGTAACAAATATATTTAGTAAATAAAGGTACTCACAGCAAAGGAACATAGAACATTTTCTTCTTTTTTCACAGATGCACTCGTTCAAATGGAAAAAGCTATGAAAAGAGATAATATTGAGACTAACGACAGGCAATTAGCTTGTGCTCACATTAAATCCCAAGAAGGTCAAGACTATTTAAAAGCCATGGCAGCTGCTGCCAACTTTGCTTGGGTGAACAGAAGTTCCATGACATTCCTTAGTCGACAAGCTTTTGCAAAGCAGTTCCAAATGTCTCCGGATGATTTAGATATGCACGTTATATACGATGTTTCCCATAATATCGCAAAGGTGGAGGAACATATGGTTGAGGGTAAACAGAAGACGCTTTTAGTGCACAGAAAAGTAAATTGAAAAATTCTAGTTTAGTTAACTATGTTATAATCGGGGCATGGCATGGATCTTCCTAAAAATTGTTTTATTCGCAGGGATCCACGAGAGCTTTCCCTCCTCATCATCCTTTGATTCCAGTCGACTATCAGTTAACAGGTCAGCCAGTGTTGATTGGCGGTACCATGGGAACATGTAGTTACGTTCTTACTGGTACTGAACGGGGTATGAAAGAGACATTTGGATCGACTTGTCATGGCGCGGTAAATACTCGTATGATGTAAATTACAAAGTAATATTGCAAGTACTAATTATAAATTGTATTTAGGGCCGAGCTCTATCTAGAGCTAAATCACGAAGGAATTTGGATTACACGCATGTCTTAAAACAATTAGAAGATAAAGGAATATCCATAAGAGTCGCTTCACCGAAGTTGGTAATGGAAGAAGCACCGGAATCTTATAAAAATGTGACAGACGTTGTAAATACGTGTCACGCAGCCGGAATTTCTCGAAAATGCATAAAGTTAAGGCCAATCGCAGTTATTAAAGGATAAAATTGTTTAAATACATTGAACGAGTGTTTGGAGTTGTTAATTGTGACTTCATAGCCGCTTGGAGTATTAACCAAGTCATAATTGTAACATCTCATCAAGGGTCTAACAAAAACGTGATTTGCCATGTTTAAACACTAAGTATATTCTACCTTTTGTAAAGTATGTAAATGTAGCGATTAATTTATAATAAAAAAAGTTTACAAAAGTACCTTGAAACAACAGACTACTTTACAGGTGTTACACGTATCTTACAGTTTCTCTTCTTGGGAAAATATCGAGGTCGCCGACGTGTAATAAATGGTGAAGCACCATTTTTAAAAATATTACATTAGCGTTTTATTAGATAAAATGTACAGTTACCTACGTTCGAAGTAAGAAAGCTATATTAGACTAATTCGTTTGACTTTACACGGGAATTAAATTCGCAGTGTTACGCTTAACAAATCCTCCAATGACTAAATAGGAAGGATAGTACAGAGGAAAATGTGTATCGAAAGAGAGTGGTCAGGGGTAGACAATGGAAGCAAACCATCACCATAAATAGTACACATACACACACACACATATATATATATATATATATATATATATATATATATATATATACACATCTGTCTCGTGATTCAGGGTATTCGTATATATAACAGTGAACGATATGACGCGGTGGTGTAAACCCTAGGGAGGAAAGTACGGAAGACGAGTCACTGGAGGAGTCGGTTTCTAGAAATACAAAACGAACCATCCGATTCAGTGGTCAGAAGTGCATTCCAATGAGAATTATATAAAATTACATTATAAAATAACTATTATCCTAAAAAACTTATGATAGGTGATAGTCAGGAGAAGGTTCAGCTACAGATTCAGTAGTGAACAGTGGATTTGGGAACTCTGGTGGATGTGGCAATGGTCCAGCAGTCTTTGGCTGGCGACGGTACGCCATTAGCCAGCATGATACAGCAATAGCTACAGCGACTAGTGCCAGGAGTGCTGTGATTACTAATGCTATCACAAAGCCGACCATAGAAACACATATATCCTCCACTCTCTGAGCTGAAGCAACTGGAATAATAAACACTGTACAGTAGTAAAATACATATTTCAATAATAGTACCTGTAATCGTGTGTTCCAGGAAATAATGTCTTACTTTCAGCTGGATCCGCTGTAAACCTTTCTTCTTTCCTCTCTAACGTGAATATCAAATTCGACTGGATCGTTATTTCTTCTCGAAGTTGTCCCTCAAAGTTGTCCGCGACGCTCAGAGCAGTGTCATTTGGCTCAGAATCGACGTCTCGCCGGCGTCGGCCAAACGCGTTATATCCTCGGCAATTGACCTGAAGTAATAATGAAACAATATTATTGGCATTTGTCTTGTGGCATTCGAATATTCACGTGATTATTTTCAAATTACTAAGCGAAAACTAACAGGTTGACATCGTCCAAAGCAGACGCGAATATTGCACTGGAATCGAATATTGTCGCTACTCGGGAACTTGAATGCGTTAAAGCTGGCCATTAATGCCTGCGTTTCAGGATTTTGTTCCCATTCGCCAAATATCGTGGGATCTGTCGCGCATCCATTTTCATCTGTTACAATGTACTCGTTCTCTAAGTTATCCTCCATTGTCTTGGCCACGCAATTTCGGGCGAATCCACCATAAATACCTAAAAGATTCAAGATGTAAATTTAATTGCTTCGGCGGGACTGCATTGATTTACACGTCCAACTGGTGGATACGTACTGGAAGGCTGAACTTCAACTTGCAACATCAGATTGTCTCCGATTTCAGCAGAGTTGATTTCATTGCCATTCTGAGTGACAATCTTCATCAGACAGACTGGCGGTGGACCTGTGTTGGCAATAGTACCGGCAGTTGTTAGCATGGAAACATTGAAGCCAAGAGTAACATTTTGCTCGCCAGTTTGATAGATGCATTTAATGTGATACGCCTGAGCCTTGTACGTCATCAGTTTCGGATGTTTTTGAATAACCAAGACGAAGCTGGCTTGTCCCTGAAAGTGTGGGTAATAAATGTGATTAAGTTTACAACTTTAAATCGATTAAGTTAATTAAAACTCGGTCGTTCAAACTACGAATAGGATTGACATGCAATTGATTTCTGCTTCGTCACCTATGAGCAAAACTTACATTTACGTGGATCAGTCCACAATTTCCAAATGCCACTTTGAATATCTCTGTTTTGTGCATGGTGTCAGAAGAAATGGACACGACTCTTCTGCACTGTTCATCTTTGCTGCGGCCCTTCACGTACAGAACACCGTCGAATTCATCGTCGAGGAGATGTATCAAAACCTGAACTCCATCTGATAAACAGCTGACAATTATATCTGGTCTGGGGAAATCTGTGCGACCTCTGTTTCCGTTATCTATCGAACAAGAATATTAATTACTTTTCACGCGAAGACCATAACAGGCAATACACTTCTGGGAAGAAACATGTCCTTACAGCATTGAGTATAAGCGTTTCCGCTGTAGCCACTGATACACGTGCAAATCGCTTGATGACGAGTGGCATTACAGATCGCATTCATGCCACACAGTTGCGTCAAACAAGGGTCTTCGCAAGTCTGGCTCGTTTTTTCGCAGTATCTGTTATCGGCACAATCATCATCGCGCCTGCATTCGATTATATCAACTGCAAGATGCATACAGGGATTAATTCAACCGGTTCTTGAAGAAATAAATACCTTGGAGATTGATCATTTAGCTTTTGTACCTAATCTACAGTATCCATTGCTGTCCAGTCTGTATCCGTGCTCCGTTGGACAGACACAATGACCGTACTCGTCGATGATCATTCCGTTCTCCAGAGCGCATACACAGTATCCTTCTTCGTTGATGATCATTCCAGCTTGTTTGCGGCAGGGTATACACACGTCGGTCTCATCCTTTGCTGTACCAGGTGGACAAACACAGTTACCATTCTCGTCGCGGATCTGACCCTTCTCCACTGGACAGACGTCAACTGTAGACGTAAGAAGATAAAATTTTAGAAATGTTCTTGCAACATTGATTCTACATTGAACATGAATGGTTACCTTTTTCGCATCGTTCAACAGCGTTTCCTCTGTACCCAGGCATGCACTCACAGATCATGGTTCTCACAGGGCTTGTATCCAGAACCTTGCAGTCCGCGTTCGCCACGCACGGTTGAATCTTTACGCAAGGATTGATACACTCGCCATTGAAACAGGCGGTTTGAGATGGGCATTCGTTATCCGCTTTGCATTTCTCTGTAACTGGAACGTAAAAAAAATCACACGGTGAGATAACAAACAATCCGAATTTTAAGTTTAACAAGTATAAGTCACACGGAGAATTCATTCGTACGTTTGGTGCATCCAGACTCGATATCACCGATGTAACCAGGCGGACAAGCACACTCGACCATGTGATTGTAAACGTTGCAGTCCATATCACCTCGACAAGGATTCACAGCGCACGGATTCTCGCAGCGACTGTTTATGCAAGCCTTGTTCGTTGGACAATCCGAGTTGGTTCTGCACCCGAGAAGAGTGCAGATAACTCGTGGATTGCCACCGAGACCGGGCGGACATTCGCAGATCGCTTTGTGATTGATACTATGGCACACGGCGTTCTTGCCGCAGGTTGGCTCGGATTGGGAGCACACCGGAACGCAACTATGTTGCACACACGCGTGCGATCCGCTACAGTCGCCATCCGTGCGACATCCGACCACTGAAATGACAAATTGGAGTTCCACATACAGATCTGTTGTTTCGATTGCATTTCCCCTTTAGATGTCCCAAGTAAAGGAATAAAACAAAGAGGTATGTGTACGTGTACATTACCTTTAGTACAGGCTACATCGGCGTTGCCATCGTACCCGACCGTGCAAGAGCAAATCGGCTTATGATCCGCGACCGTGCACTCCGAGTTAGGCCCGCAAGCGCATGGATCTTTGCACACAGCGTTCACGCAGGACTTATCGGACGGGCAGTCGGTGTCTCTGTTACATTCGATGTCCGCTATAGGTTTCGTGGCCCTACACGTGCCATTGCCGCTGCTCACGTAACCGCTGGGACAGACGCAGATCATAGTACGGACAGGGTGTGTTGGTAGCACCCTGCATTCGGACGGTTCGCTGCACGGCACGACAACGGAACAAGGATTCTGGCATTTGTTGCCGAAGCAGGCCAACGAGTCGGGACAATCGTCGTCCTCCCGGCACTCTGGCTTGTCTTCCGGTTTGCAGTTCACGTACGGATTACCTACGTGATGAGCCGGGCAACGGCATACAGGTAGATGATTGAAGACCCGGCACTCGGCCAACGGCGAACAAGGATTGTCATGGAGGCAAGGATTCACGCATTGCAGGTTGACGCATGAATGATCGCCGGGGCAATCTCCGTTGCTGTAACAGCCGATCACTCGACAACGATCCAAAGCATTACCGTGGTAACCCTTGCGACAGCGACAATCCGCCTGGTGATTGTTCGGATAGCATTCGGCGTTTACACCGCAGTGTAACAAGCGACATCCGGTTTGCCTTGGTAGCCTTCCTCGCACGAGCAGATCGGTTTGTGATCCCTGACGTAGCAGACAGCGTTGGTACCGCAGTTGCACGGATTTCTGCACTGTCTGTTCACGCAGGACTCGTTGTCGCTGCACTCGTCGTTACTGGTACAGGTGCCGATGGTTGTTATATGAACTGAAATCAAGAAAGAATTGTCAACGATCATTCTGTACGGGAATTCTGCCGGTGAACAGAATTTTCACCGACTGCAAAAGGTTTATGAATTATAAAGCAAGTTCACACGTACTTGGCCTACAGACGCCATCGATGTCAGTGGTCCAGCCTTCGGGGCAGGTACAGGTCATGGTCCTTACGGGAACAGTATCGAGAACGTTGCATCGGGCGTTCTCCAAGCACGGCCTGATCACCGGGCAAGGATCGATGCATTTGTTTTTGATGCAAACCAACTTGTCGGCACAGTCGATGTCGATTCGGCACTCTGGCTCGTCCGAGGTGGTCGTAGTATGTTCGCAGTACGAGTACGGATTCCCGACAGGCAAGTTTTCTGGACAACGGCAGACGGTCTCGTGATCTTGGACGTAGCAAATCGCATTCTGCGCGCACGGTGAACTCGCGACACAAGGATCGATGCAACGTCCGCTGTCGCAGGCCAGATTACGGGGACAGTCCTGGTCCCCGTTACACTCGGCCCTTTCGCAATGCACTTCCGGGTTGCCGAGATAACCGGGACCACAACGGCAAACAGCGCGATGGTTCTGGCCGTAGCATTCCCCGTTGATCGCGCACTTGTTCTCCAGAATACAAGGATTCACGCATTGACCGTTGTAGCAGGTCGCCGCGTTATTGCACTCGCTGTCGGTTTCGCAATCCACTGCAGGAAGAAGTTTCAGAAAATTCAATTAGATTACTTCTATTTGCTAAATAGACTCTCTTCTGTTGATAATAAGATCATTGAACGCGCCGAAAAGATAATTCCTTTAGATCGAAGCATCATGACTCACGCTTAAAGCAGCCGAGTTGAGGATTCCCAGAATAACCAGGTGGACACACGCAAGATGGATAATGATCGATCACGTTGCACTTGGCGTTCGGACCGCAGTTGCAAGGATTGATGCACAAGCTGTTCACGCAGGCTGCGTTGCCCGCGCAATCGCTATTCGCACGACACTCTGCTACTATGCCGGCTACAGAAGAAAAACAAAACCATTACGTATTTCTCGGAGAAATTTCTCGGAGTTCAATAATTTTACGGTTATACACTTACGTGGTATACAATTGATTCTAGCATCGCCGTCGTAATTCGCGGGACATCTACAGACCGCGATTTGATTGTTCACGTGACAGAGCGCATTTCTTCCGCAAGGATCCTCCGCTATGCACGGATTCACACAAAGGGAGTTCATGCATTGTTTGTCGTTCGGGCATTCGCTGTTCGCGTAACATTCTGGACGAGGTGACGGTAGCGTTGTGACAGCAGCTGAAACACAACAATTTACGGATCGTTCAAGAATCTCCTGTCATCTAGGCCACGCTAAATCGATTATTGATTTGATAAAACGTACTTCTGATGCATTCGATGTAAGCGTTCCCGGTGAAATCAGGAGCGCACTGACAGATCCCGGTATGAGACGCGGACTTGCATTGAGCGTTCAGACCGCATTCAGTGGTCAGGCAAGCTTCAATGCATGTTCCACTGATGCACTTGTCCGAGTTGTTACAGTCCTGATCCTGATGGCATTGCACGTCGACCAATACTGTAACATAATAATGGTTTCAATGATTTTTACGCGTAAAAACGAAGGAAATACGGAGTTGTCAAAATAACGATCAACAATATTTACCGATCTTCTTGCACTGCCCGTTGATATCGGTGATGGTGTTCGGTGGGCAGCTGCAGATCATTGTACGAAGCGGTACGGTGTTCAGTACTTTGCATTCTTGATCACCGGCGCACATTTGTGAGGACAGGCAAGGATCTTGGCATCTTGCGTTGATGCAGGCCAAATAAGATGGACACTCGTTGTCTTCCCTGCATCCTGTTTCGGTGGGAACACCTTAAGATACCAGAAGTAAGGTTATTATTAATTGTTAAATATATATTACTAAGTTAGGTTAAGGTCTGTGATAAAGAATCATTCATTCCTTGATAATCAATCTAACGTATAAATTATCCTGTTACCGCTGCATTCGATGTAAGGATTTCCAGACGTTTCTGCAGGACAGACGCATCTCGGTTGATGATCCTTGCCGATGCATTTGGCCGTGTCCGCGCAAGTGTCGACCTCGCAAACTGGCCGACAGACTCTGTTCAGTCTGTCGCAAGCCTCGTGATCGGCACAGTCCTCGTTATAGTGGCAGACCGCCGAAATGCAGGCTATTCGTGCGTCACCTTGAGTACCACGCGGACAGACGCATTGCGCTCTGTGGTTAATGGCAATGCAGTCTGCACCGCGACCGCATGCGATGCCATCATCGTGGCAAGGACTGACGCAGTTATTGTTCCGGCAGGTCTTGTCGTAAGGACAGTCGTTGTCTGATTTGCATTCGGCTAAAGAAACAATAAGTTTGTGTCTTTTATGGAAAGTACCATTTAAATTGTTCAAAAATTTTATCCATTATATTTCTCCGCGTGTCCAAAATCTGTAACTAGTACATATCAATAATTTAATTCCAATTCGTAGAACTTACGTTTGAAACATTGCACCTGAGGATCACCGGCATAGTTTTGTTGACAGTGACACGTCGGGTGGTGGTTCACCATGGCGCAGTCCGCGTTCAATCCACACTGCGACGCCAGACACGGGTTCTGGCACAGTTGATTGATGCAAGCTGCGTCAGGCGAGCAATCTGAATTCGATGTACAGTCTGGGAATCCTTCGGTATCTGAACCAAAAATGAAACATTTCACTCGAATATGCTGTAATTTCACTTGCTAATTCACTCTCATCTTATGAATATGTTGCAATCTTCACCTCTATAGCAATTCATGAACGGATCACCGGACAGTCCGATGTTACAGTGACACTGACGACGATGGTTCTGGACAACACATTGCGCGTTCGACGCGCATGGATTGATGGTACACGGATTGATGCATCGTTGGTTTAAGCAGGCCATGTTCGACGTACAGTCGGCGTCAGCGTTACAGATCGCGTCCAATTGTTTGTCCACTGATAAAGTCGATACAACAAGTTTAAAGCATAGAACCTTTAATTATGATAATTGAAAAGAAAAACAACCAATAATTATCGAATATCAGTAATTTTTGTACCTGGAATACAAGCGACCGTCGCGTCACCAGCGAAATTCGGCAAGCATTCGCAGACCATTGTCCTCATCGGTAGCGTGTCCACGATGGAACATCGTGCACCGGTGATGCAAGGTTTCGTTTCGACGCAAGGATCTTTACAGACTCCATTGAAACAGCCCAGTTTGCTGGGACAGTCTCCGTCCACTTGGCATCGAGGCACCAGGTCCACCGGTTCTTTAAGGGGAAGGAACAATTTTTCTAATTATACCATTTACTCCTATAATTAATGTACCATATATAAAAATAACACGTGAAATCATTTGAATTACCCAGCAAGCAAGCCGTGTAAGGATTGCCCGAGTAACCGGGCGGGCAGCGACAGTTTGGACGATGCTCGATGACGGAACATTGCGCGGACGGTGGACAGGTGCAGGGGTTGATGCATCTCTGGTTGCGACACGACAGACTGGAAGGACAGTCGTCGTCGCTGGTACATTCGGGTCTGTCGCAGATCTGGTACGGATTGCCTTGATATCCATCCGGGCAATAGCAATGCGGTCTGTGGTAACCATCGGACGAGCATAAAGCGTTTACACCGCATTGGGTGATCGAGCAGGCGTCCATGCACTCGTTGTTGATACAGGATTGCGTCAACGGACATTCACTGTCCCCGCGACATCCGACTGTGAGAGGAAAGACACATAATGTTTTTGTACAAAAAAAAAAAAAACACGAATGCTTAACACGAATATTGCGATATGGTATATCTCTTACAGTAAAAGCGTTAAATTCGTAAATGTATACATTTCCTAGTCAGTGGAGTAGTTGTCCTAGTCACTCAGGTACTAATCTGGTTAGTGAATGTATTCACAAGGAATGAAGTATATACTTTTACTAGTAAATGCATACATTGACTATCAAGTGTATACATTTACTAAACTTCACGCTTTTACTGTGACACATCCACTACTTTCAAACACATTGAAAGAAGCGAAATAAATTCTCAGATTACCCCTGGAATACGTACTTTCTCCGCAATACTGCTGAGGATTGCCAGTGAAGCCCTCGTTACAAACGCATACAGCTCTGTGCACCAACACGTGACAGCGACTATTGTAGCCGCACGAGTCCAATGTACAGGGATCGACGCACCTCTGGTTGTAGCAGGTCTTGTCGTTCGGGCACTCGGAGTTCTGGGTGCATTCTGGGACCGGCACTGTATTACAGAGAATATTAATGAATAATTCATTCGTTGAAACCTGTCAGAGACAATATGACATTCTCTGGGGAACGATATTAATTAAATGAAATTACCATCAGCTGCCGGAAGGCTGCACTGTATCCTCGCGTTTCCAGTGAATCCGATCGGACACGAGCAGACAGGCTTATGGTTGACCGTCTGACAGAGGGAGTTGATTCCGCACGAACCGATGCAAGGATCTCGGCATTTCTGTGCGAAACAGGCCTTGTCGCGTGGACAGTCCTCGTTGATCACGCATTCCGGATAAACGCACACCGCGACGCCGTTTCTGACCTTGCACTCGCCATTGTAGGTGCAAGGTGACGGATTGCAAGGATCAGTTTCTGGAAAAGAATAATCTTCCGTTTAGAGTATGCGAATACCGTCATGTTGAAAATTTTATCTCGTTTACCACTTACCAAATTTCTCAATGCATTCCACGAACGGATTACCGATCAACGGCGAAGGACAGCTGCAAAGCGGGCTATGATTGATCGCCTTGCAAGTTGCCCTGATTCCACATACGTTCTGCGTGCAAGGATTCACGCATCTGTTGCCGATACACGCTTTGTCACCTGGACAATCGGAACTGATCACGCATTCTGGGTGGCAGCCAGTAACGCTGGATGGTACTCCCTGGAGACCTGGCAGGCATTTGCAGACTACCGTGTCGCCGATCTTCTCACAGAGGGTGTTCGGTCCGCAGGGGGACGGAGAGCAGGGATCTCTTTCTTTCGGCGCTAGAAGTGAAGTCAGAAACAATTAATATATCGTGCGGCGGAACACCCTGTCGTAACGGTATTTACGAGATATTATCGGTTTACCTTCAGCTCTACAGATGGTGAACGCGTCCCCTATAGTTGGCAGAGGACAGGAACAAATCGGAATGTGATTCGACACTTTACAGATCGCTCCGACGCCGCAGGTGCCGGGACAAGGATCCTGACACTTGGTCTGTATGCAGGCCTGCGACCTCGGACAGTCGGTGTTCACCAAGCATTCCGGTTGACAACCCTCGTAAGCGTTCCCTCGATATCCAGGAATGCACTCACAAAACGCGGTGTTGTAACGTTCGCGACAGTACGCGTTCACGCCGCACGGCGATGGGCTGCAGGGTCTCGACGGGCTCGGTGGCGCAGGGGGTACTAAAAATAACAGTAGATCACAGCGTATAGTTAATCGTAATGTTTACACAGTCAGAGATAATTAACGTAAGATTAATTATACGATGGAAGAAGAAGTTAATATACAATAAGATAGTAACGATTTAAAGTGAACGTAAGTGAAGCTATACAAAAATATGTGAATGGTGTGATGTACATGATTTTGCAATATAAAAATCTATCTATAAAGAATAAAGTCGTGTATGAACAAGATTGTTACCGGATTCGAGAGAGAGAGAGAGAGAGAGAGAGAGAGAGAGGGGGAGATTCTCCGAAAAGTTTCGTACTATCCAAACATGCAATCTTTTCTCTACAATATCTATATATGTATGTATATATACAATATTTACAGATTGCTAAAAGAACGAAACAAAAAAAGAAGATGGATCAACTTCGTGAATCAACAGGATGGCAACCGATCGTAGCGATCTCTGATTCTTGACGAAATAATCACACTGTCAGATACACAGACAAGGATGGTCCTTACTCATGATCGGGGAACAAATAGTGACGGGGTCCCCGGTATATCCCTCGGGACAGAGGCAACGGATGTAGTGCATCGCGACTTGGCAGAGGGCATGGGTGCCGCACAGTCCTACACAGGGATCGGTACATCTCTGTTTAACGCATGCCTGACCGTTCGGGCACTCGCTGTTCCCGAGGCATTCGGGCCTACAGTTCGGAGGAGATCCTATGTATTCGGGCATACAGGCGCAGGAAGATTTAGCGTTGATTACGGTGCACTGGGAGTTCGGTCCACACGGCGAGGGGATGCACGGGTCCAGGCTGGGTTCCAGGTCGTTCGTTTCTGTATCGTTGACAAAACACAGGTGGTTTCCGGTTAACATAAAAATATGCATGTATGTATCTGTGCGCGCGCGCGCGCGCGCGCGCGCGTGTGTGTGTGTGTGTGTACGTGTGCTCTGAAAACGGTGCAATGGTAATTCTCACTTTTCTCTACTTGTGTTCTACTTACGGATGGGGAAGCAGCTGACGAACGGGTCGCCGGAATAGGTGGCGGGACAGCTGCAAATGGGATTGTGATTGCGTACAGCGCACAATGCCGCCTGACCGCACGAGTTCTCGCAGGGATTCTGGCATCGTTGGTTCACGCAGGCCTTGCTCTGCTCGCAATCGGTGTTCACGAGACACTCGGGCCTGCAACTGGGCGGCGTTCCGAAGTATCCGGGGAGGCAGGTGCAGGAGGCTTGCTCGCCGAATTCACGGCAAACACTGTTTGATCCGCAGGGCGTGGGCTCGCAGGGTTTCACGCGTTCTATTTTGTTGGGCGAGAGAGGGTCAATGAATTACAAAATTTGTACTGCGATGGTGTTTTCAGGCCCTGGGGCATTAAGTCTTGTATAGATGACAGGCAGACTCACTTTGGATCGGTTTACAGAAGGTGAACGAATCACCTTCGTGATTCTCTATGCAGCTGCAGGTGGGAATGTGGTTAACGACCACGCATTTCGCATTCTGACCGCATATTCCTTGGCAGGGGTTTACGCACTTGTTGTTGGAACAGGCTTTGTCGCGGGTACAATCGGAGTTCTGCACGCACTCTGGGTAACAACCCTCGTACGGATTGCCACGATATTCGCTCGTGCATGTACAGATCCCGTTACGACACTGAGTATTCGGTCCGCAGGGCGAAGGGTTGCACGGGTCGGGGGATGCTGGAGTGGCTGGTTCAAGAAACGTTGAAAATGAGTAAAGGGAAGAGTTATGGAACAGAACATATTTTCGAAATAATTTCCCATTTCTTACTTGTAGGTCTCGGCTGACAACTGGTAAATGCATCCCCTGTAAACTCCGTGGAGCAAGTGCAGGCGGGTGTGTGATTAATGACGCTGCACAGTGCGTTCGTTCCGCAGGATCCAGGGCAAGGATCTATGCATCGTTCGCGAACGCAGGATTTGTCGCTGGTGCAGTCCGAGTTTACCAGACATTCTGGACGGCAATTGGGGGCTGAGCCGACGTAATTCGGTAAACAGGAACAGGATGGAATGCCTCTTATGTCTTGGCACTGAGAGAATGGTCCACAGGGCGATGGTACGCACGGGGTCACAGGGGTGGACGGAACTATTGCTAAAACAGGATTTCCAAATCGAACGGTTCATTCGATGATCGTGATGACAAAACCGAATAATATATCCGCGGTTGTTTTTCACTTACTGGTGACATCGAAGCATTTCACAAAGGGATCTCCGGTCTGATCGGTGTCACAGCTGCATATGGGACTATGATGAAACACCTCGCATCTGGCGTTCACGCCGCAAACACCAGAACAAGGGTCCACGCATCTCTGACCCATACAAGCCTGGTTGCTGGGACATTCAGCGCTAACCACGCATTCCGGTCTACATCCTGGTGGTGTTCCTTGGAAGGTAGGCAAGCAAGAACAGCTAGCTTGGCCGTTAATGTCTTGACAACGACTGTTCAATCCACAGGGCGACGGTACGCATGGGTTCGGGATATCTTGTTTGGCTGTTTAATAGTACGTTGAGGTTTAGTTACTGATTACAACATAATAGAGTTTCGGTATATTCTAATCATTCGGGAATAACTCACAAGGTTCCTCTAGAGTGTTACAAACTCGGAACGGATTTCCAGAGTAACCGGGTCTGCAGCTGCATGTCGGTATATGATTCACAACCTGACACTCTGCATTGAAACCGCAAGTTCCTGGACACGGGTCTTGGCATTTGTTTCTGATGCAAGCTCGGTTGAACTGACAGTCGGAATTGATCAGACACTCGGGTCGACAATTTTCGTATGGATTACCATAAAAATCGGGCAGACAACTGCAGAGAGCTGAACCATAAGATTCACGGCAAATAGCGTTCGCCCCGCATGGAGACGGTTGACACGGATTGATTCTGGTTGGGGTATCCTCCACTATGAGCAAAGTTAAACAATTAATCATCTTTTGCAACATTGGTATCGATTTCCCGGTGAAGCAGTGACAAAAAATGGTTCTCACTAGGTTGAGGGGTGCACTGCACAAATGGATCTCCGGTGAAACCGCTGGTGCAACTGCACATGGGGGTGTGACTGATGGTTCTACACTCGGTGTTCCGGCCGCACGATCCTGGACAAGGGTCTCTACACTTCTGATTGATGCAAGCTTCCTGAACCGGACATTCGGTGTTACTCACGCACTCTGGTTTACAATTCGGCGGAATTCCAATGAATTCCGGGAGGCAAAAACACGAGGGCGTGTTGTTGATTATTTGGCATATCGCGTTTGAACCGCAAGGCGAGGGTTCGCACGGATTTACCGGGACCTCCGGTAGCTTGCCTAAAATAGCGGTAGTGTCGTCTTAATCAAATTATTCTTAGGGTCGTAAAAATTACGCAAAGAGGTGCCCTAATAAAACAAAAATTCATCGTTCTTACTAGGTGGAGTGCACTGGACAAACGGATCACCTACAAACTGGTCGAAACATCTGCACACAGGGTTGTGATTGATGACGGTACACTGAGCCGATAAACCACAAGCGCCCAAACAAGGATCGATACATTTCTGATTGCTGCACGCCCTGTTACGCGGGCAATCGGTGCTAACAATGCACTCCGGTCTGCAGGAAGGCGGTGATCCTTTGAATCCGGTGACACAAGTGCAAACAGCTTGGCCGTTCGAGGAACGACAATGGCTGTTCGGACCGCATGGGGATGGGTTGCAAGGGTCAATGATGTTCATATCTATGTTTGCACAAAAAGAATTAATAGTACACGGTGGACTATATAGATCACTATGGAAAAGTAACGATGAAACAGAGACACACAAACCTTTCATCGGGCTACAAGCTACGAACGCATTACCGGTCATGTTCCTAGGACAACTGCACATAGGCAAATGATTGACTACATTGCATTCCGCGTTTAACCCACACGTTCCTACACAAGGATCTCTGCATTTGTGCAGAATACAAGCTTCGTTACGGAGACAATCCGTGTTAATGACACACTCGGGACGGCAAATGGTGTAGGGATCGCCCAAGTAACCGGGTATACACGTGCATGTACCGTCGTTGCACTGGGCGTTGGGTCCGCAAGGCGATGGGTTGCACAGGTCTTTCGGGGCTTCGGTCACTAAAATACACGGAGGTCAATGTAGATTCGATAAAACAATTTTGCGTCTCGCAGAATTATGGTATATGCGTCTGTGTCCTTACTATCGGGTGGAGGCACGGATGAACAACCGGTGAAAGGATCACCGGTGTACCCGGCAGGGCACGTGCACGCTGGTGTGTGATTTATCACCGTGCAACGGGCACCGATGCCGCAGGAACCTGGACAAGGATCTCTACATTTCTCCCGTATGCAAGCTCTGTTCGCCGTGCAGTCGGAATTCATGGTGCACTCTGGTCGGCAATTAGGAGGCACTCCCATGTAGTTGTTCATGCAGGTGCAGACAGGGGTGTCGCCCAGGGGCTTGCAGATCGCGTTCGGACCGCAAGGGGACGGAATGCATGGGTCTCTTGGATACTGGTCCTGGGGCTCTGATGGAATAAAGTGTCCCGGTTTATATGAAGTGGTAAAAAATGAAGATTCACCGAATTCAAAAAAGGCTGTAAGAGACTCACTCGGAATAGGGAAACATTGGACAAATGGATCGCCCGTTAAACCACCTCCACAGCTACAGATAGGACTATGATGGATAACTTTACACTGAGCGTTACGACCACAGGTGCCGAGACAAGGGTCTCTGCACTTCTGATTAACGCACGCCAGATTCGTGTTACACTCCGAATTGACAACGCATTCGGGTTTGCAATTCGGCGGGGTTCCGACGTATTGGGGCAGGCAAGAGCACACCGCTTGATCGTTGATCGTCTGGCAACGACTGTTCGGGCCGCATGGGGATGGTCTGCATACGTCAGGTTTCTCGTCTTCGACTATAAAATATTAACAATTACAATATGAAATTCCGAAGTATTTTTTGGACACACAGTCGACATTGGTCTCGATTGTTGGCTACTTACTGTAGGTCACTTTGTACAAGCAATTCACGTACGGATCACCGGTGTACTGGGGCAGGCAAGTGCACACAGGCAAGTTGTTAACCACCTGACAGTTGGTGTTCGCACCACAGGAACCGGGACATGGATTCTGACACTTGAGACCGATACAAGACAAATGGGAGGGACAGTCCGATGCGATTGTACATTCCGGACGACATCCTTCGTAAGGGTTGCCGATGTATTCGGTCAAACAGTAGCAAGAACCAACGCTGTTTTGTTCGCGACAAATGGCGTTCGCTCCGCACGGAGACGGTTGACAGGGTCGTGTCGGAGTCACTGGTGCCGCTGGAAGCATGAACGAAAACAGTGTCAGCTACATCGATCACGACAATTTTTATTCCTGCCAAATCATCGGGTGGACACTCACGTAGCTTGGCGATACACTGAACGAAAGGATCGCCCGTGTAGTCTCTCATGCAAGTGCACGCTGGAACGTGATTCACAACGTGGCACTCTGCATTCGACCCACAAGAGCCTGGACAAGGATCTCTGCATTTCCGATTGATGCACGCCAAATTGTTACCGCATTCGCTGTTACTGACGCATTCCGGCCTACAATTCGGAGGTGTACCGATAAACTCCGGTCTGCAGGAACAAGAAGGCTGATTGCTGATCACTTGGCAGACTGCGTTCGGACCGCAGGGTGACGACTGACACGGGTTCGTTGGTGGTACAACATCTTCCGCTTCAAGAATGTTACAAATTTTAACTAGAAAATTCTCCTGACTAAATCATACCGTAACCTGTAAGAGATACCTACGTCTAGGTACACAACGGACAAACGGATCGCCGGTGAAAATCGGCGGACAGCTGCAGATAGGATTGTGATTGATAACTTGACAACGGGCGGACACGCCGCATGATCCAGGACACGGATCGCTGCACTTCAAGTTCACGCAAGCTTCGTTCAATGGACAATCGGTGTTGACCAGACACTCTGGTCGACAAGCCGGTGGATTTCCTATGTAACCAGGGCCGCAGGAGCACACCGCCTGTCCGCTAAAGTCTTGGCACCTGCTGTTCGGACCGCAGGGCGATGGGTTGCAGGGTTCTATTATCTGTGGGTCTGTAATAGAAACGACGTTTGTCTTAACCCTTGTTCCGTAAAATCTGATCCTTTGAAATCTTTTTCCGAGCAAGTATTACCTTTAACCGGGTAGCACGCGGTGAACGCGTTACCCGACATACCGTCCGGACAGTTACACATGGGCGTATGGTTGATCACCACGCATTCAGCGTTCTGGCCACAGACACCCGTACAGGGATCGAAGCACTTGTTGCGATTACATGCTCTGTCCAGGGGACAGTCCGGGTTCTGCACGCATTCCGGTCGACATCCGTAATAGGGATCGCCATGGTACTCTGTCATACATGTGCATAAACCGTCGCGACACACGGCGTTCGGTCCGCAGGGCGACGGGTTACAGGCATCTTGAGGAATCAGTGGCGGTGAAGCTATCGTGACAATTCCCCGTTAAAAGCATAACTGATTTACACAACTGTTTTGATTTTTAGAAAAAGATCTCTTACGCGCAGTGTCCACGAAACAACCGACAAATGGATCACCGGCGTATCCCTTCGGGCAAGTACAGACAGCCATATGATTCACCACCAGACATTGGGCTCCCGGACCGCACGAGCCTGGACAAGGATCGGTACACTTCTGCCTCAAACAGGCTCTGTCGCTGCCGCACTCGGAATCGATGGTGCATTCCGGTCGACAATTCGGCGGGGTTCCTATGTAATTCTCCATGCAGGTGCAGCTCGGCAGTTGCCTGTTGTCGAGTATACGACAAACGGAGAACGGGCCGCAGGGTGACGGGACGCATGGATTTACGGATTCGGTGACCACTATTACGCAGAAATATTTCGAGTTGTCATGTTTGTCGTAGAAACATCAATATAGACTAAGTAGAGATTTTTAGTGGAATTTTTCAACGTTGCAAGAGCCACCACTCACTTGGGATCTTGAAGCATCTCACGAAAGGATCGCCGGTCAGGCCAGGATTGCAACTACAAATCGGGCTATGATTGATCGCCTCGCATCTGGCATTGATACCGCATATCCCGGGACAAGGATCCACGCATTTCCGGTTCTTGCAAGCCCGATTCGTTGCGCAATCCGAGCTGACCGTACATTCCGGCCGACACATCGGTGGTGTTCCGAGGAACGTCGGGGTACAGGAGCAAATCGCTTGACCGTTCGACACGCGACACTGGCTGTTCAAACCGCAGGGTGACGGACTACAGGGGTCTGCCGGTTTCGCTGAAAGGACGTTCTCGTGTTAGACTTACGATCGAGGATGAAATCTGACAATTTAATCACTTACGTTGCTCCAGGATGACATTGCACTGACCGAACGGGTCGCCAGTGTACCCTACTTGACAAGCGCAGAGTGGGGCATGATTGACCACTTGGCAGACAGCGTTGTAACCGCAGAAACCTGGACATGGATTCTGACATTTGGATTTAATGCACGCTCGGTCCGCTGTACAGTCGGAGTTGATGATGCATTCCGGTCGACAACCCTCGTACGGATTGCCGACATAATCGGGGAGGCACTTGCAGGACGCAGCGCCATTCTGCTCGTTACAAATCGCGTTTGATCCGCATGGACTCGGTACACACGGTGTGGGTTTCTTGCCTGTGTCCTCGATGACTACGGGAGACATTTTTTTTTGTTTAGTTTTCGTTGTTTTTTATCTTCCAATGCGTTTATCGTTGCTTACCTGGTCTCGGGACACACTGTACAAATGGATCTCCCATGTAACCGTATGCACAGACGCACATCGGCGTGTGACTGATCACACGGCACTCGGTGTTTGCGCCGCAGGAACCGGGACAGGGATCGCGACACTTCTGATTGATACAAGCCAAATGGGTCGAACACTCGCTGTTGCTTATGCATTCTGGCTTGCAGTTAGGTGGGGATCCAAGGTACTCAGGCAAACACGAGCAAGATGGCGAGTTGTTTACGACTTGGCATCGACTGTTCGGGCCGCAGGGTGTTGGGACACATGGATTTATCACTTGTGGGTCCTCCCCTGTTGGACGAGAATAGATGTGATCAGATGCTGGATCATTGTGTAATAATTGTTTCAAGTAATTCTGCGTCGATTGAAGTACTCACGTTTCCTGATACAGACTGTGAACGGATTACCAGTCAGATCCGGAGGGCAGCTACAAATTGGGTTGTGGTTCACAACGATACATTCTGCTCTAATGCCGCAAGTGCCGGGACACGGATCTATACATTTCTGATTGTTGCAGGCCATGTTGGATGGACAATCAGAGCTGAGGATACATTCTGATCTACAGTTCGGTGGTGTATCTAGGTAGCCAGGGATGCAGGAGCAAACTGCTTGGTCGTTTATCTTCCTACATTGACTGTTCGGTCCACAGGGTGTGGGGTTGCATGGATCTTGGGGTGTTTGTACTGTTGAAAAAAAGGTGCAAAAGAATAGATATAAGTTAAGCCATCGTCCCATTTTGTGTCTCAAAAGAAAAGATTCTCATTTAGTTTTTCAGGGGTAAGTAAATGTATGTACCTTGTACCGTGGAGCAAACAACGAATGCATTTCCCGTTGTTCCTGGTGGGCAAGTGCAAACTGGAACATGATTCACGACCGAACACAGGGCATTTTGTCCGCAGGTTCCAGCACAAGGATCGTTACACTTGTTCCTGGTGCAAGCTTTATCTCTCGGACAATCCGAGTTCAAAACGCATTCTGGGCGACAACCCAAGAATGGATTTCCTTGGTATTCCGGCAGGCAAGTGCAGACTTCATTGAGACACTGGGTGTTCGTACCGCAATTGGCACATGAATCCACAGGTCGATCCATGTCCACTGATTGATCAAAGATTCGAAATACAGGAGGTGAATTATGCAGAATGGTGTTACACAAGTAAGATCAGTAGTTTGTCGTGTTTCAGCGTACCTATAGCAGGCGAACACCTGGTGAACGAGTCACCGGTGTACCCTTCGGGACAGGTACAAATCGGTGTATGATTTATCACCGAACATTCCGCTCCAACGCCGCAGACACCATCGCAGGGGTATCGACACTTCCTTTGAATGCAGGCTTGATTACCAGGACACTCGGAATTTCGAATACATTCCGGTCTACAATTCGGCGGTGTTCCCGTATAGTCCGCCAGACAGGCACAGGACGCCTGACCGTTTATGTCTCCGCATTCCGAGTAAGGTCCACACGGCGAGGGTGCACAGGGGTTCACGTACGTTGGAACAGGCGCAGGTTTTCCAACTGGAATGGAATGTTTGTTCGCAAAGATCGTTACCTTCCGAAGTAGAAAAACGTTACAAGCTTTCAGACATGGGGACTTACTTGGCACATCGAAACAAGCGACAAGAGGATCACCGGTGAATCCCGGCTGACAGGCGCATATAGCGTTACGGTTGATCGTTTCGCATCTGGTGTTCGAACCACAGGAGCCGGGACATGGATCGCTACACTTTTTATCGATACAGGCCAAATTCGTGGGACACTCGGCGCTGATGGTACACTCTGGCCTACATCCAGGCGGACTGCCCATGAAGTCAGGCAAACACGAGCACACCGATTGTCCGTTGATGACTTTACACTGACTGTTCGGTCCGCAGGGCGAGGGACTGCAGGGTCTACTGATCGCCTGGTCGACTTCTACAATCGAACGGAGCGATTGTCGTTAGTTTTCGGTGAAACTTCAGCAGACACGTCATTGATACAAATACAATTCTGGGTTCAGAATCGCGGCTATTCTCGGGGAACATACCTGGCTGAATCGGTGCACAGAAAACGAAAGCATTGCCAGTGTGTCTGGGGTAACATTCGCAGACAGGTAGATGACTGATAACGTGACACTCGGCGTTCCGGCCGCAAATTCCTGGGCAAGGGTCTCTACATTTATTGTTCATGCACGCCTGATTCGCGGGACAGTCGGTACTCAGGTAACACTCGGGTCGACATCCCTCGTAAGGATTGCCGATGTAATTCGAGATACAGGAGCACGAGCCCGCGCCGTTTAATTCCTTGCACACAGCATTGGGACCGCACGGGGATGGATTGCAGGGGTCTAAAGTCCCAGGACTGGTCACAGCTGTAAATTCGGTTCATTAGAAATCGGGCAACTCGAGAACATATGCACGTTAGCTTCAACACGATTCGTGGACCCTTACGTTCTCCAAGGACACACTGGGTGAACGGATCCCCGGTGAATCCGTTCAAACAGCTGCACACGGGCGTATGGCTGACGACATGGCAATCGGCGCTGGCGCCACAGGATCCAACACAAGGATCCTGACACTTTTGTCGAATGCACGCCAACTGGCTTGGACATTCGCTGTTACTGACACACTCCGGTCTGCAATTGGGCGGGCTTCCTGAGAATTCTGGGCTACACGAACAGGAAGGCGAGTCATTGATCACCTGACACTGAGAGTTCGGACCACAGGGGGATGGCCGACAGGGGTCTACAACTGGTTGCTCGACTGTAATAAAGAACATTTTTGGTATAGAGCGCTACCTACGGATTATCAAGCGGAACCGTAACGTGGAGAAAATGATCATGGATTCTTACTGAATGGTATACACTGAACGAAAGGATCCCCGGTGTAACGGGACGGACAATTGCATATAGGATTATGGTTGACCACGTTGCACTTGGCTCCGATACCGCATGTCCCGAGACAGGGGTTTATGCATCGTTGGTTGCTACAGGCTTCGTTCTGTGGGCAATCTGTGCTGACTATACACTCGGGCCTACAGGTCGGCGGGCTGCCTAAATACCCTCTCACGCACGAACAGACTCCCTGTCCGTTGACAACGCGACACTCGCTATTCGGTCCGCAGGGTGTCGGGCTACACGGGTTAGTGGTTGTCGTATCTGACAAAAATAAACAAAAAAAAAAACACAAATTATTCGAATTCTTCTCTGTGGGACGGGTAGGAATCTTCATGCGGACGAATTGAATACCTCGCAGAGGAGTACACTGACTGAACGCGTTCCCAGTCATGTTTCCAGGGCAGCTGCACATCGGGACGTGATTGATAACCATGCAAACGGCACCGAAGCCGCATGTAGCACGGCAGGGATCCATACATTTGTTACGCAGGCAAGCTCTGTCTCTGGGACAGTCTGTGTTCAAGACACACTCGGGTCTGCATCCTAGATAAGGATTTCCTTGGAATTCTGGCGCACACGTGCACACGCCGGTCGAGCATTCCGCATTGGGGCCGCAGGGTGATGGGCTACATTCGTCTTTTTCCGGTCTTGGTTGAGCTGTAAAGGTCAAATTGTCAAGTGAAACGTCGATCGAGGACAGTATATCGAGATTATTCTTCCTTTAATCGTTTCAGGTACGCAAAAGGGTTCTTACGTGTGGACAGCAGCAACTGACAGAACGTGAATGGATTTCCGGTGAAACCCTCGGGACAGTTGCACACGGGAATGTGGTTCACGACCGCACAGACTGCGCCGGAACCACAAGAACCCGGGCACGGGTCTCGGCACTTCATGTTGATACAGGCGGTATCGCTCTGACACTCGGAATTGATCGTGCACTCGGGCCTGCAGTTCGGTGGCTGGCCAATGTAGTTCTCTGAGCAGGTGCAGGCGGCAGAGCCGCGGACATTTCGACATTCAGCGAAATTACCGCACGGTGATGGCACGCAGGGGTCTGCGGTATAGATCGGGCCGGGGATGGAGATTGCTAAAAAGGTGTTTGGTTAATCGACTGTGGATAACCTCGAAGGTGGATGTGTGGATTCACGTCTCTTATATCTTACGTGGAATTGGTGCACAAGTCGTAAACGGATCTCCGCTGTATCCGGGCATGCAACTACATATAGGACTGTGATTCACCACAATGCATTTGGTGTTCGATCCGCAAGGACTTGGACACGGGTTCACGCATTTGTGATCCTTGCACGCGAGCTGAGTGGGACACTCCGAGCTGGCGACACATTCGGGCCTACAGCCGGGCGGGGTACCGACATACGTCGGTAGGCAGGAGCACACGGCCTGACCGGTTACTTCTTTGCATTGGCTGTTCGGTCCGCACGGCGATGGAGTACAGAGGTTCACTTTAGCCGGGACCACTACTGGGGAGGAACAAGCCAAGAGGATAATTATCGATATCTATTTGACCTCTACCGAGAGGGTGGAATATCCACAACTTACTATCCAGGGAACACACGACAAACGGGTCACCGGTGAATCCTGGCCGGCAGGCGCAGAACGGCTGGTGGTTAACCACGGTGCATTCCGCGTTCTGACCGCAGGTCCCGGGACAGGGATCCCGACATTTGTTTCGTACGCACATTCGGTTCGAGACGCAATCGGGATCAATGATGCACTCGGGTCTACAGCCTACGTAGGGGTTCCCGATGTATTCAGGAGGGCAATAACATACGCCGACACCGTCTCGTTCTCGGCACAACGCGTTCGTGCCACAAATCGCTTCCGCGCAGGGTGACGGTTCCGGGTCACGCGCTAGAACAATGGAAAATTACAGATTAAAGATAGATAGTTCTCGTAACAGTTTTTCTATTACTTGTTTTCTTTTCTATTTCTTACTTATCGGCGAGCAACGTGTGTACGGGTCACCGGTGAGACCGTTCCCGCAAACACAGTGGGCCACGTGATAGACCACGTGACACTCGGAATTCTCCCCGCAGAGACCGGGACAGGGATCTTTGCACTTTTGTTGCACGCATGTCTGGTGGCTGGGGCACTCGGAGTTGGCTATGCACTCGGGTTTACAGTTGGGCGGGACTCCGTTGTATTCAGGCTGGCATGTACAAGCCGGGGAATTATTGACCACTTGGCATTCGGAGTACGGTCCGCAGGGTGACGGTTGACACGAATTGGTGGGAACAATTACTTCTTCTACGGAAAGTAGTTGAAAGTTTTCATTCGATTTGTCTTATTATACCGTAAAAGTTCTACGACACTTTGATTTCATGTAAAGTTCGTTGGAGAAAATCTAATTGGATCAAGGATTAGAGACTTCGAACACGACTTTACATAAGATCTATATAGAGCCGAACTTGTTAGATATTTCGATTCGTCCTCTTACTGATCATTTCGCATCTGCTGAACGGATCGCCGGTGTATCGTTCCGGACAGAAGCATATAGGGTTGTGATTGACCACTGAGCATCGTGCCGCGATGCCACAGGTTCCCACGCAAGGATCCCTGCAGTTCTGGATCACGCAAGCCTCGTTCTTTCGACAGTCCGAACTGACCACGCATTCTGGCCTGCATAGGGGCGGCGTGCCTAGATAGTCTGGTGCACAGGTGCACACAGCTTGATCGTTTACTTCCCTGCAGATACTGTTCGGACCGCAAGGGGACGGTCTGCACGGTCTGGTCGTCGAGGGTACTACGATTCAACGGTTTATGGGGATTACCACAAGTGTTCTATAGAACCACAAGATTTGTCAGAATACAAACTATGTGTACCTTGCATAGGTGAACACAAGATCAACGCGTTTCCACCGGTACCAGGAGAACAACTGCACATCGGTATGTGATTGATCACGGTACACAAAGCATTTTGACCGCAGGCGCCGGGACAAGGATCAACGCACTTGTTTCGTATACAAGCTTTGTCGTTCCAACAATCGGCGTTCAGTACACATTCTGGTCGACAACCGATATAAGGATTTCCAAAGTATTCCGGTAAACAAGTACATTCGTTGTTGGTGCACTCCGTGTTTGGTCCGCATGGGGAGTCAGTGCACGGGGCTGTCACAGGTTCGTCTCCTGTTTTCAGTATTAAATTACCTGATTAAAATGGGGCCCTATGGGATAGATTTCAACATTTTTCGGACTCTTTCAGGGCTTACTAATTGGTTTAGGTTGACAGCTGCTGAATGGATCGCCAGTATAGCCCTCCGAGCAAGTGCAAACGGGAACGTGATTGTGAACAGCGCAGACGCTATTCAGCCCACAGGATCCTGAACAAGGATCCTGGCACTTCTCGCGAATGCACGCTCGATCGCGGGGGCAATCGGTGTTGATCACGCACTCTGGACGACAGTTTGGCGGGGCACCGGTGTAATTGATCAGACACGTGCACGAGGGCGATCCATTGATAGTTCGACATTGAGAGTTCGGACCGCAAGGAGAGTTGATACAGGGATCAACTGGAGTGTCCATAACGGGTGTGACTAAAAAAATTCAGCGATTACTTTTAACTTTCCCCACGATACGGATGGATTGGCTTACGTGGATGAAGAAGGCTTACGTGGATTAAAGAAGCATCGAGTGAAAGGATCACCGGTGAAATCTGGCCTGCAAGAGCAGACAGGACTGTGATTCACCACTCTGCAAGTACTCTGTTGGCCACACGAACCGGGACACGGGTCGACACATTTATTGTTCCTGCATGCAAGGTTCAATGAACAGTCAGAGTTCACTGTACATTCTGGTCTGCAATTGGGAGGTGTTCCTGAGTATGTTGGCAGGCAGGAGCATATAGCTTGACCATTCGTTTCTCTACATCGACTGTACGGTCCGCAGGGTGATGGTTCGCAGGGGTTCGCGAGATTCGAATCAGGCACTGGAAATAGGGTCAATTGTCATTTACCATCCTGATATGTGTATCGGGTAAATCATTGGTGTTTCAGGAGTTCTCTCTTACGTTGTTCCCTCACAGGATTACAGTATACGAAAGGATCTCCTGTATACCGTTCGAAACAGCTGCAAATAGCTGCGTGATTGACGACATAACATTGTGCATTCTGTCCACAAGTACCGGGACAAGGATCTCGGCACTTGGATCGGATGCAGGCATGATTGGACGGACAGTCCGAACTGAGCGTGCACTCAGGCCTGCATCCTTCGTACGGATTGCCTATGTAGTCGTTCTGACAGGTACAAGATGCTGCATCTTGTTGCACCCGGCAAATTGCGTTCGATCCACAAGGCGATGGGTTGCATGGATCTGGTCTGGTAACTGGCACGTCGACTGGAAAAAAGTAGAGCGGTCTAGCTCAAGGTTCAACTAACAAGACATGTGTCTGAAAGGTGAACAACTGCACCAGAAGGACCGATGATTCTTACATTGTTGAGGCAGACATTGCGTAAACGGATCCCCAGTGTAGCCGTTCGTGCAGGCACACATCGGGGTGTGACCGACAACGTTGCAGATTGCGTTCGATCCGCAAGAATTTACGCACGGATCTTGGCACTTCTGATTGATACAGGCGAATCGATTGGGACACTCGCTGTTGCTGATGCATTCGGGTCGACAGTTCGGGGGCGATCCAATGTATTCCCTCAGACAGGAGCAGGACGGTAGATCGTTCACCACTTGACAGTCGGCGTTTGGACCGCAAGGGGACGGCTGGCAGGGATTCACCGTGGCCACCGGTCTTGTAGCTTCAATGTTTAAGAAAGTTAATCAACGTTAGCTCGAAATGGTCTTCTCAAGATGGTATACAGGGTGGTCCACCTAAAGGTAGTCACCTAAATGTCTGCTTCAGTTGTGATTATATAAAAAATATGTTGTATGCAATTTGAATGGTGTCAAAGAACGAATACGCCGCAAAGTCAAATTGCATACAACATATTTCACACCACCCTGTATATCATGAGCGATAGAATCGAAAGACTCCTTACGCATCGGATAACATCTGACAAATGGATTGCCGATCATTCGCTCGCGACAAACGCACACTGGATTGTGATTAATGACATTACAATCCGCGTTCAATCCGCAGGTTCCTACACAAGGATCTAGACATCTCTGATTGGTGCAAGCCTCGTTCGGTGGACAGTCTGTACTGACTACACACTCTGGTCTACAGGTTGGAGGACCTCCGATATATCCGCTCACACAAGTACACACTGCTTGCCGGTTGTTCTGTCTGCACAGACTATTGGGACCGCACGGTGATGGGTTGCAAGGGTCACTGACGTCAGTGGTCACTAGAATTGTTCAAAGACACGGTTGGGGTGGAATCGAATCCTCGATAGTTTGTGCCTCACGGAAGATAAGAAGCGTACCTGGGGCAGGGGAACAAAGTACAAACGCGTTTCCAGACATTCCCGTGGGGCAGCTGCACATCGGGACATGATTGAAAACGTTGCACAATGCGTTCTGTCCGCAAACATTTCTACAAGGATCCACGCACTTGTTTCGAAGACACGCCCTTGTGCTTGGACATTCGTTGCTCAATACACACTCGGGTCTGCAACCGATGTAAGGATCACCGAAATAGTTCGGCGAACAAGTGCATATTCCGTTGTTGCATTGGGTGTTCGGTCCGCAGGATGCGCACGGATCCGTTTCATTTGGACGATCTATCGGAAGAATTAGTATGATATTATTTCTTTGTTTTCTGATCAATGACGACAGGTTGCTGGTAAAAGCCTATTTCAGGATTCACCAATTTCAATCTTATCTTACATTCAAGGGCGCAGCTACTGAAAGGATCCCCGGTGTAACCAGGCTGACAGGAACATATCGGCACGTGGTTGATCACGTTACACTCGGCTCGAAAACCGCAAGAACCAGGACACGGATCTTTGCATCGTTGTTGCATACAGGCTTGGCTCGGAGGACAGTCCGAGTTTATCGTGCACTCTGGTCGACAATTCGGTGGACTTCCGGTATACGTGGCGAGACAAGAACAGGATGGAACACCGTCGATGTTTCGACACTCGGAATGAGCGCCGCACGGGGACGGAATACAAGGATCTTTGGGGATTCGATCGTTCTCGACCGGCACCGTTACTAAAAAATTCAGAATGGAAATCTCTAACAAGGGAACAGCCCAGTATCACCGAAAATTCCGGCTTTTTCTTTTCAAATTCTTCTGCAAGATTCTAGACAATCTAAATAGACGCATCGGGCAATTTGTCGTTAATTCAGGTTTGTTGGGAATAGAAACATTGCGTGAAACCTGCAGTGTTTAAACGAAAATGAGAATTTTCGGTATTAGTACATAGAATCCACCTTGTGGAAGTGCGTCGAAATCTATCTTAACACCCTATACATCGGTGTGATATCTTTAACAATACTCACGTGGCATTGGGAAACAAACGGTGAACGGATCACCGGTGTATCCTCTCATACAACTACAGAGGGGTGCGTGGTTGATCACCCGACAATCTGTGTTCTGTCCGCAAGAGGCTGGACACGGGTTCGCGCATTTTTGTTTCACGCATGCCCTGTCGAAGGGACATTCCGAGCTGGTGACACACTCGGGTCTACACGCCGGTGGTGTACCGATGTAAGTTGGCAGACAGGAGCAAACCGCCACTTCATTGAGCACTCTACACTGACTGTTTGGACCGCATTGGGGTGTGGCGCATGGATCGGTTGGGCTCACATCGGAAACTAAAGGAAATTTATGCTCAGAACATCATTTCATTGGACTCCATATATCACGAAAGACTTTTCGAACACGCCGAGCCGAACTTACCAGCCGGCTGAACAGCGCAATATCGATAGGGATCCCCTGTGTAGCTGAGATAGCAAGAGCACGATGCTCGATGATTGATAACATTGCATTCCGCGTTGGTACCGCAAACACCTGGACAGGGATCAACGCACTTTGTATTGATGCAAGCACGGGTAGGTGAACAATCGGAGTCCACCACGCATTCCGGTCTACAGCCTTCGTAAGGATTTCCCGTGTAACCAGAAAGACAGGTGCACGCGCCGACATCGTTCCTCTCGGTGCATTGTGCGTTGGGTCCGCAGGGCGAGGGTAGACACGGATTCACTCGTTCGTCTTCGACTGGAAATCGATTCTCGTAATATTCTGTGCTCGCGATAAATATAAAGATTTCATGCCGTGGATAAAATATCGAGTCGCTACGAGGGGAATTTGAACTTTTTTTTTCATTATTTCTTACGTAACATTTTTATTAAATATAATAAATAGAATGGCAGTAATCGGGACATTCACTCCTTATGTATTTTAAATCTCGTAGCAACCCGAAGAACACCATCGTACGAAATATATATATATATATATATCTCTGAGAGCCTTACTAGGTCTGATCGAGCACTGTATAAATGGATCACCGGTGAAGTCTGACTCGCAGTAGCACATGGGTGTGTGACTGACAGCACGACATTGTGCATTGACGCCGCAAGAACCGACACAAGGATCGCGGCACTTTTGATTGATACAGGCCTGATCGTTGGAACACTCGCTGTTACTGACACATTCCGGTCGACAATTCGGCGGAGAACCAATGAAACCGGACAGACAAGTGCAAGACGGAGAATTTCCGGCGATCTGGCACTGGGCATTAGGTCCACAAGGTGATGGCTGACAAACGTTTATCGGTTCTGGACGTCGCGGTGCTACAAGTATATCATTACACTTATTGTTATTTGAATTGATCATGATTCGTATATGGACAATTTAGGCTAAAATGCGTGACAAAGATAACTTACGAAGTGGCACGCATCGAACGAAAGGATCACCGGTGAATTCCTCGGGACAGTGGCATATGGGATTACGATTGGCTACCGTGCAACGAGCATCCAATCCACACGTCCCGACACAAGGATTCCTGCACTTTTGATTCGTGCAGATCTCGTTCAGGGGACAGTCGGTGCTCACGATACATTCGGGACGACAATTCGGTGGGTTTCCGAGGTAAGCAGGCACACAGCTACAGATCGCCTGGCCGTTATTGGGCCGGCACTGACTGTTCGGTCCGCATGGTGACGGTGTACACGGAGTGGATGGAACATCGGCTATCGAAAGATTATTATCAATGTAAAATTCCCTAGAGATTAGCCGACGCAAAACTGCTACTATCGTTCACAGTTATTACCTATGGCAGGACGACAGTAGGCAAAAGCATTTCCTTCGAGACCCGTGGGACAACTGCACATGGGCACGTGGTTAACCACGGTGCAGAGTGCGTTGCTGGCACAAGTGCCTACGCACGGATCCTCGCATTTATTCCTAACACAGGCTCGATCCCGTGAACAATCGTTGTTCAACACGCATTCCGGTCGACAACCGATAGTCGAGTCGCCATAGAACTCTGGTAAGCAGGAACAAATCCCGTTGTCGCACTGAGCGTTCGGTCCACACGGAGAAGGATTGCACGGGTCTACGTCCGCTTGCACGACTAAAATTGGTGAAAAAAGTTCAAGGGAATCAGTGGCAAGATCTTGATTCTTGTACCAGTAATTGTTTAGATATTCTTTACTCACTGGTCGGAATCTGTTGATCGCAACGACTGAAAGGATCGCCGGTGTATCCTTCGATACACGAACAAATCGGCATGTGATTGAATACCGAGCATTGTGCATTAAAACCGCAAGAACCCGGGCAGGGATCTCTACACTTCTCGCGGATACAAGCTTGGTTACTGGAACACTCCGAATTAATCGTACATTCCGGTCGGCAATTTGGTGGGCCACCGCGATACTCTGGCAAGCAAGTGCAAGCCGGAGTTTTTCCTACGTTCTGACAGATAGCGTTTGGGCCGCAGGGTGACGGCAGGCATGGATCTCTTTGTGCTGGTGGCGAAGGATCTGAGAGAATTTCTGAGGAACACAGACGATTAGAGAATTGAGATTTTTACGACGGCCAGGCGTCATACAGTTCTCAAATAAGTTGAGGCTTTTGGGTATAAGTCGTGTCCTTATGGAATTAATTTCATCGACATTTTGCAAGCATTGCAGCTAGCTTCATTAGGGATCAACTGTCACAATTTTTTCATATAAGAGATGGTCTTTTTTCGTCAAAAATGTATGTATAGATGTATATAATAGTATGACAATTGTTTATACCCAAGGGCTTCAACAGTGGGAACTATAAAGAATTTAAGATTGTGGCCGTCGATGAAAAGTGGTAAAGACAGAGATATTAATATGGAGGCACGGATCGTACCAGGGGCACGGAAGCAGGCGGTAAACGGATCTCCGGTGAATCCATTGTTACAGAAGCAAATTGGACTATGATTGATGACTCTGCAGTTGGCGTTCACGCCGCAGGAGTTGGTACACGGGTCCGTGCACTTCTGGCTCACGCAGGCACGACTCGGAAGACACTCTGTGCTGACCACACACTCTGGTCTGCAGTTTGGTGGACTGCCGACGTATGTCGAGGCACAACTGCACACTGCTTGATTGTTGGACACGCGGCACTGACTGTTTGGACCGCAGGGCGATGGGTTGCAGGGATCGACTATTTGTGTATCTTCTAAAAGAATATATGGTGGGTGAGAAATATTTCCAAGTTAATATCTATTTTTAGATAATCATTTAAATATCGAATTATGATTATCAAGTGTTGGGCTGTGCGGAAATTTATTTTTCTTACGGTTCACCGGGCTCAAGTTGCAATATCTGAACGGATCTCCAGAGTATCCTTGAATACACGAGCACATAGGAACATGGTTAACGGTGTAGCAGACAGCGTTCTGACCACAAGCACCGGGACAGGGATCCTGGCATTTGGATCTCGAGCAGGCGAGATTCACGGGACAGTCGGAATTTACAACGCACTCCGGTCTGCAACCCTCGTACGGGTTCCCTATGTAGTCGGGCAGACAGGAACAAGTGCCCGCATTTCCGGACACTCTGCACACTGCGTTCGTCCCGCACGGCGATGGAGCGCAGGGAGCTGGTCTTTCGTCTTCGACTGGAGATTGAATTGAAAAATCGTTCATTACAATGCTAATTTGCTGCACCGAATAAGGAGCTCGAAATGACCCTGGTCAATTTTGATTCTCGTTTTTCCAGGAGAGTAGAAAAATACTGTGGGCATCTTTAAGAATCTTAAGAATCGGTCCATTCTCTTTTCAGAATAAATTAGTACATACTCTCCCGTTCGTAAGTATTAGGAAATTTATCGAATATGCAGTAAATGTATCGAAAGCGTTACGAAATTACTGGAAGTCTGAAATTAAATATTTCTTACGGGGCATTAAAGCTCAACGAGTAAAGTTTATGCTACTATGTATAAAGCAATATTAACGTTGTCTAAAATATATAATTTTTACGAAACATCGCATTTTCTACATACGAACTAGGTGTCCTAATGTACGTATGAACGATAGAGTAGGTCGTTTTTGACTACCAGAATCTTGTTGTTATTACAAAAACCAAAAACTCTGACGAGGGTCATTTTCATCGCGATATGGGCACTTACTTGGTACCGGAGTACACTGGACGAAAGGATCGCCAATGAATCCTGATCTACAAGAGCAAATTGGAGTGTGACTGAACACACTGCAATCAGCGTTAGCTCCGCACAATCCGGGACAAGGATCTGTACACTTCTGTCTGACGCAAGCTTGACGAATCGAGCACTCGCTATTGGTGACACACTCGGGCCGACAATTCGGCGGTGTACCCGAGAATTCTGGCAGACACGTGCACGCGGGAACTTGGTTCACGACTTGACACTGAGCGTTTGGACCGCAGGGCGATGGATAACAGGGGGTGACCGGTGTTTGGGGCTCTTCGACTGGAGGATCAATTCAATAAGATAGATTAAAAGAAGTGACCTCGTCCCAGCTGTCGTGGTTATTTCAAGATCAAGCTGTTTACATGTTAAATTTCTCACCTATCGGGGCGCAACTGGTGAACGGATCACCGCTCATGCTCGACGGACATCTGCATATAGGGTTGTGATTCACTACAGAGCACTCCGCTCGGAAAGCGCACGAACCTGGGCAAGGATCTCTGCATTTCTGATTCACGCAAGCTTTCGTCAGCTCGCAATCCGAGCTGACCGTGCATTCTGGTCGACAAGTCGGTGGATTTCCAATGAAACCTTCTATGCATTTACAAACCGCGATTCCGTTCACCTCTTGACAGTGACTGTTCGGGCCGCAAGGCGATGGCGAGCACGGTCTCAGTGCTGCGACTTCTATATAAGAGATAGAGAATTCTGAATTGAGGGATGTAAATAGGCTAATCGAAATATTCGGAGAATCATGCGTCGGTGAAGTTATACCCTGCACTGGTGAACAAGAAATAAAAGCGTTTCCGGACATTCCTAAGGGGCAACTGCACATCGGCACGTGGTTTATCGTCTGACATTGCGCGTTCTGGCCGCAAGTTCCTATGCACTGATCCACGCATTTGTTTCGCAGGCATGCTCGGTCGCGGGGACAATCGTTGTTCATTACACATTCTGGTCGACAACCGGCGTACGGATCTCCTTGGTACTCTGGAAGGCAGGAGCAAGAACCGTCGCGGCAGAGGGCGTTTGGACCGCACGGTGATGGATTGCAGGGGTCCGTAATTGTATCTTCAGCTGTATAAAAATCGGGAATCAGTATATCGGTAGTCCCGAAATTAGAACAATCTTTATATATTTGTACCCTACGTTTAGTATGCACCTGTGAATTTGGCAACGTTTGTTCTTCAACACGAAGAATAAGAAATGTAAGGTTACATGGTTTAGAGGTACGTCGAAAAATTAAATTACTCGCGAAACATCCTGAACAAAAGGGTATCAAAGTAACAGGCGAAAAAGTCTCTCACGTATGCTAGGCTTTGGTACGCAGCTGCTGAACGGATCGCCGGTGTATCCCTCGGGACAGGAACAAACCGGAACATGATTCGTAACTGTACATCTAGCTCCAAAACCACAAGATCCTGGACAAGGATCCATGCATCTTTCCCTGATACAAGCCATACTGCTGGAGCACTCGGAATTGATTGTACACTCTGGTCTACAATTTGGTGGAACACCAATATAGGAAGGTGAACAAGAACAGGATGGATTTCCTCCGATGTCTCGACACTGAGAGTACGGACCGCAAGGGGACGGTAGACACGGATCTTGTCGAGCGGGCGTGAACTGCTCTATTGGTGGACCTGTGAGGTTCGAAAATATGAATATATACACCTATTCCAAAACTATCGGGGCCTTTAATGAAGTATAGAAACAATACGAACGTGGCGTTGGGAAGCAAATCGAGAAAGCATCTCCAGTGAAACTCTCCCGACAAGAGCATATGGGACTATGATTGATAACTCTGCAAACAGCGTTTTGTCCGCATGGATCCGGACACGGATCGATACACTTCTGATTCGTACAAACGCGATTCGAAGCGCATTCAGCGCTCGCCAGGCATTCTGGCCTGCATCCAGGCGGAGAACCAAGATAATCAGGTAAACAGGAGCAAACCGCCTGGCCGTTGTTCTCTCTGCAAACGCTGTTTGGTCCGCAAGGCGACGGTTTACAGGGATTCATTGTACTCGGTAAAGTGACTGTCGAACGAAAGATCGTGTCAGTAACATAGGAATCGTCTTCGATTTATGGAGAATTCATGTGGAACGATCTAACGCGTACCTATCTCTTCCTCGCGACAGAATCTGAACGGATCACCGGTGAATCGCGGTAGACAACTGCAGCTCGCCAGGTGATTGATCACCTGGCAGACCGCGTTCTGGCCGCAAGTACCGGGACAAGGATCCACGCACTTGAAACTGACGCAACTTTTGCTCGGGACACAGTCTGTATTTATGACGCACTCTGGTCGACAACCCTCGTACGGATTTCCTGTGTATCCGGACAGACAGGAGCACGAACCTACACCGTTTCTGTCTGTGCAGAGGGCGTTTGCTCCGCATGGAGATGGCACGCAGGGTCTCGGTACGTACATCGGTATGACTGAAAGAGGAACGGTTACGATCAGATTTCGATACGTTGGATTGAATGTGTCTGTATCTTCGAATACACTGTCCAACAAATAAAAACTGTTTGTCTTTCCGATCCACAATATCCACTGGGTGGATCCTTGTAGAGCTTTCGACACCATTTCCTGGATGGTTTCTTCGTCAGAAATATTTACTACAATAAGAATTTTTCGTAAAAATGCTAAAATAATGCGTATAAATTACGCGCATCGACTTTTTCAATACACCTTGATGACCATTTATAACCATTCAAAGTCACAAAATTTAATAACTGGATACACTGATATATCCAGGAAACTCTACTCAATCTTTTAATAATTATTAAATTGAACTTCCCAGAGTTTTTAGTCTTCGCGTAATACGTTATTTTTTGGGTCCAAAGTCGTGGGTTTCTACAAAAATCTGAGAGTGACAGAGCAATTTTGATTCCGCATTCGTGTCTGAGACGAGAAACTCTACAAGGTTCACCCCGGTGGATATTACAGATTAAAAAGTTCCTGTTGAACAGTAATATTTAACAAGAAAGTGGGCCGAAAAGGATCCTCACGTTGTTCGACAACACACTGGGTGAAAGGATCTCCGGTGTAACCAGGAGAACAGGTACACATAGGTGTATGGGACACAGCGCGACAGACTGCGTTCGTTCCGCAGGATCCGGGACAAGGATCCCTGCATTTCTGATTGATACACGACATGTTGTTCGGGCACTCGTTGTTGCTTATACACTCGGGTCTACAGCTCGGCGGCGAACCAGTGAATTCTGGCAGACAAGAGCAGGACGGGGAGTCGTTGATCACTTGGCACTGAGCGTTCGGACCGCACGGTGACGGTACACAAGGGTTCTCTCGAGGTGGTTCGTCTAAAGCTGAAATAAAATATGATTCAAGGGAGTGTTTGTATTTCTCGCGTATGTATCTGCGTTAAAATTAGACGAATTCTTACGTTTCGCGAGGCATCTGACGAAAGGATCACCGGTCATTCCAGCCGGGCAATCGCAAAGTGGATTATGGTTCACCACTTGACACGTTGCTCTGATTCCGCAGGAACCAACGCATGGATTGCTGCATTTCTGATTGATACAGGCTTCCGTTGGACCGCAGTCCGTGCTCACTGTACATTCCGGCCTGCAGGTAGGCGGTATACCCACGAAACCGGGTATGCAAGTGCACACGGCTTGATCATTCATTTGTCTGCATTGACTGTTCGGTCCGCAAGGTGTTGGGTTGCAGGGATTGGCAACGACTGGTTCTGATATAATCGAAGATATTTTCATTAATCGTTCCGAGACCGACAAGGGAAAATTCCGATTTTCTTTTTCTTTATACTTTGCCAGGTTTGAAGGGGACCTCGATAGATACATCGGGCAATTTTTCGTTTTTTTTTTTTTTAATGATACTTGTGGTTCTTCTTTGAATTTGAATCAAATACATCAGCGAAAACAAAAAATTGACCGATGCTTCTGTCGATGTCCCCTATAATCCAGCAGAATTTAAAAAAAATCGGAATTGTCTTCTCTGACTTTCTTCCGCGTTTACTCTACCTCTGAACGGATTGCAAGATATAAATGCGTTTCCAGACATTCCAACCGGACAACTGCACATGGGAATATGATTGTATACGTGACAAACCCCGTTCTGACCGCAGGTGCCGATACAAGGATCCACGCACTTATTGCGCAAACATGCTCGGTTCAGGGGACAGTCCGTGTTCAGAACGCATTCCGGTCGACATCCGACATAAGGATCGCCTTGATATTCCGACAGACAAGTGCAAGCACCTTGATTGCATTCGGTGTTGGGACCACAGGGCGACGGGTTGCATGGGTCATCGGCTACTAGTACCACAGCTACAATTGTGTTCCATACTAGTTACTCGAAATCTTTCAAAATTTACGTCACACGAATACGAAAAAAAAAATCGCCGAAAATAAAGTAGATACTTCTTACGGCAAAACTATCGGGAAAGAATGATTTTCTTGGTATTTATCATGATCTTACGTGGGGCAGGAGAGCAATTGCTGAAAGGATCGCCGCTGAATCCCTCTATACAGGTGCAAATCGGCACGTGATTGTAAACCGTGCACCTTGCCGCCACACCGCAAGAGCCGGGACACGGATCGGTGCATCGTTGCCTGATGCACGCTCTGTCGCTGGGACAGTCTGTGTTCACTGTACACTCTGGTCTGCAGTTCGGTGGGCTGCCGAAGTAATTGGCTAAGCAGGAACAAGACGGGGTTCCACCGATATCACGACATTCGGAGTACAGGCCGCAGGGGGATGGTAAACAGGGGTTTTGAGGTAGAACTGGTAACGTTGGTTGTGCTACGGAATCGAATAATTGATCACAATTAAATAGAGTTACATTATTTCCAGCCCATCCGTTGAATTCAAATGACTTACGTGAAAGAGGGAAACACCTGGTGAACGGGTTGCCGGTATTTCCGTCTCGGCAGGTACAAATCGGACTGTGGTTCACGACTAGACAGTTTGTGTTCTGTCCACACGGGCGGGGACATGGATTCACGCATTTCTGACCAACGCAGGCGCGATTCGAGGGACAGTCTGTGCTCACGACGCATTCTGGACGGCACGAGGGTGGAGTTCCGGTGTACTCGGGGAGGCAGGAACATACAGCATTACCGGAAACCACGCGACATTGGCTATTCGGCCCGCAGGGGGAGGGAACGCAGGGATCCGCTGGATCTTGGAGGATGCCTAAAGGGGGTCAGAAATCGAGGGATGACGAAATATTTTAGTGCACGGTTCACAGGTTGAATTATGTTCAAACGATCTATACTTTACCAGTTTCTCTGACAACTTGGCAATATCTGAACGGATCACCGGTGTAACCAGGGTTGCACGAGCAGGTGGGCGAGTGATTGATAACTTGACAGACAGCGTACTGTCCGCAGGCACCGGGACACGGGTCCTGACATTTATTTCTAACGCAAGCGAGGTTCGAGGGACAATCTGAGCTAACTGTGCACTCTGGTCGACATCCTTCGTACGGATTGCCGTTGTAATCGGGTAAACAGGAACAGGAACCAACGCCATCTTGTTCTTTGCAAACGGTGTTCGAACCACACGGAGATGGCGAGCACGGGGTGGATAATCCTAAATGAGGAAAGAAAACACATTTTGAATAACTTATACAGGACACGGAAAATTAAATCGGTATCAGATTAAATTTCCTTACGATCGTCATATGGAACGCATCGGGTGAATGGGTCACCGGAGAAGCCGCTGGAACAAACACACATAGGCGTATGGCTGACTACACGACACTCTGCGTTCGTGCCGCAAGATCCAGGACACGGATCTCGGCATTTTTGATTTATACAAGCCAGCCGATCGGCGCACTCGCTGTTGCTGATACACTCGGGACGACAATTCGGCGGAGAACTGATAAATCCGGGCATACAGGTGCACGATGGGGAATCGTTCGATACCTGACAGAGAGCGTTCGGACCGCAGGGCGATGGTTTGCACACGTTTATGAGTTCCGGGGTGGACTCCACTGAAGAAGGTGGTTAATAAAATGTTACGATTAAGTTCGTCGAAAAGAAGGATACCGAAAATTTTCATAATACAATCTTTAAAAGGGTTCTTACTGATCGGATCACACTTTACGAAAGGATCTCCAGACATTCCCGAGGGACAACTGCATATAGGATTGTGGTTCACGACCTGGCACCGCGCACGAACGCCGCAGCTTCCTGTACACGGGTTCACGCACTTCAGGTTGTTACAGGCCTCGGTTCCGAGACAGTCCGAACTGACCGCACACTCTGGTCTACAGGACGGAGGATTTCCCAGGTATCCTTGTAAGCAAGCGCAAACCGCCTGTCCGTTCACCGAACGACAGACGCTGTTCTGGCCGCAAGGTGACGGATTGCACGGTGTCACCGGGGTCACTGCTGCGGATACAACCGTGATGAATACTTTCAACACGTCCGAAAGAGTAAAATCAATGAAACCGATTTCGATTTAATAACTATACTCGGTCGCGTTACCTTGAAGCGGAGCGCACAATACGAAAGCATTTCCGGTTGTTCTCTCGGGGCAACTGCACATCGGAACGTGGTTGAAGACATTGCAAACAGCCGTCTGTCCGCAGGTACCGGTGCAGGGATTCACGCATTTCTTACGGACACACGCCTGATCCAGGGGACAGTCTGAATTTAGGACACATTCCGGTCGACATCCCGCGTAAGGATCGCCTCTGTATTCAGGCAGGCAGGTACACACGCCGTTGTTGCATTCCGCGTTTGATCCACACGGCGAAGGATCGCATAGGTCGTCGGAGATTAATTGTTCTATAAAATTACGGAAAGGTACAGAGAATTACAATGAAGATCGGAATCGTGTGAAATCTGAAGGAACTGGACAAGATATGCGTCTTACGGTCAGGAGGCTTTGGATAGCAACTGGTGAACGGATCACCGGTGTATCCCTCCAGGCAGCTACAGGTGGGCACGTGATTCAGCACGCTACAACGGGCGAACATGCCGCAAGAGCCTGGACATGGATCTCTACATTTCTCTCGCATGCAAGCTTGACCGGGTGAACAGTCGGAGTTTACTGTGCATTCTGGTCGACAATTCGGTGGGCTGCCGATATAGTTCGACAAACAGGAACAAGAGGACATGCCGTTGATGTTACGACATTCCGCGTTTAGACCGCAGGGCGAGGGAACACAGAGATCCGAAGGTCGCACCGATAGAGGGTAATCTAAAAAAAAAGTACAATTTGGAACGCGTGCAGCACACACCTTGGAAAATTGATATCTTTACACGAAAGAACCTAGTGACTCTCGAAGAATCTCTTAGGGATTCTTGGATTCAAGAAGACATTTTCTCACCTGGCATAGGGAAACAACGACTGAACGGATCGCCGGTGTATCGTGTTCTGCAGGCGCAGATAGGACTGTGATGGACAACGTTACACTCCGCGTCGAGACCACACGGACCGGGGCACGGGTTTGTACATTTCTGTTTGATACACGCCAAGTTTGATGGACACTCAGAACTGACCACGCATTCCGGTCGACAACCCGGTGGGTAACCGGTAAAATTCGGCAGGCAGGTACACACCGCTTGCTCGTTAACCACACGACAGTCGCTGTTTGGTCCGCAAGGCGAGGGGAAGCATGGATCTCTCTTTTGTACAACTAGGATAAAGTATGAAAAATCGGAATAAAATCCTTCTGACAGAATCTGAAAGTAGAATTGCGATGATTCACGCTACCATCTTCCACGATTGGTTGACAGAACTGATACGGTTGTCCAGTGTAACCGGGGAAACAGGTACAGGTCGGCAGATGTGTGACCACCTGACACTCGGCGTTACTTCCACAGGTACCGGGACACGGATCTTGACATTTAGAACGAATGCACGCGCTGCTGGGTGGACAGTCAGAGTTTATCGTGCACTCTGGACGACAGCCTTCGTATGGATTACCGATATAATCGGGCAAACAGGTACAGGAACCTACTCCGTTTTGTTCCTTGCAAATCGCGTTCGAACCGCAGGGCGATGGCATGCACGGAGTGGTAAGAAGCGATTGTATTTCAGCTAGAATCGAGAAACAAATCGATTACCCCGTGTTCAGGGAACAGAGCTTTTAACAAGCTGATCAATGAGAAACTATCGTCATTTCTTACGTCGTCTTTCGAGACACTGGGTAAACGGATCACCGATGTAACCAGCGAAACACACGCATATAGCAGTGTGACTGACAACTCTGCATTCAGCGTTCGCTCCACAGGAACCAGGACATGGATCTCCGCATTTGTTGTTCATACAGGCTAAATGGCTCGCGCATTCGCTGTTACCGATGCATTCGGGTCTGCAGTTAGGTGGTGTTCCGATAAATTCAGGCATACACGAGCAGGATGGTGAATCATTGAACAGCTGACAAACAGCGTTCGGTCCGCACGGTGATGGATTGCAAGGATTTACAGGGATCGGGGGTTCCTCCACTGAAATGTACGGATAAATCAAATGTTTTACAGATCCTAAGGTGAATTTGATTCCGGTAGAACATGCAAATCTCACGTTTAGGCTCGCATCTCCCGAATGGATCGCCGGTGAAGCCAGCCGGACAGCTACATATCGGGTTATGATTCGTCACTTGGCATTGTGCCCCGACTCCGCATGTTCCACCGCAAGGATTAATGCATCTCTGATTGCTGCAAGCCTGATTCTTGGGGCAGTCGGAGCTAACTGTGCACTCCGGTCTGCAGGATGGTGGCGATCCCATGTAACTGGGCACGCAAGAGCAAACCGCTTGCTCGTTCACCACCCGACAGATACTGTTCGATCCACAGGGGGATGGATTGCATGGGTCCTCGGGTCCTGAAGTGGAGACGAATCGGGAAATTAGAAGTTCCTCTGATAATTGTATGTATGTACAGGGTGTTTGAAAATTATACGTCACGGCTACCATTGCGTTATTCTATATCTCTAGATCGGTGGAGATCTGCAAAAGAAAGTCACTGCAAAATTGACTTTAACTTTGATCTTCGAGGTCAGTTTCTTATTATTGGTGCGTATTCGACTAGTCATGAGGATAAGAAATCTGAAAGGAACCATGGGAGATTACCTAGGTCTATTCCTAACACCGGGTTATTGGGCGCGCAGACGTTTACGCGTAGTTATGGTGACTGTACTGTATAGGACAGCTGACGCGTGCGTCGGAAGTACGCTGACCCATACATATATGGGACAATGAACTGTGAACGTTTTATGGCAAGAAAAAAAGAAGGAAGATATGGGATATACATGTATCGGTGTATCTGGGGTATCTACTATAACTGTGACATATAATTTTCAAACTTGTTTGACTGGGAGAACGTACCTCTGCTAGGACGACAAGAAACAAAAGCATTCCCGGTCATTCCAGGTGAACAGCTACACATAGGAATGTGATTGTAAACGTTGCACTGCGCGTTCTGACCGCAAGTCCCTGGACACGGGTCCAGACACTTGTTACGAATACAGGCTCGAGATGTCGGACAATCGGTATTAAGAACGCATTCCGGTCTACAACCGGCATAAGGATCTCCTTGGTACTCCGGCAGGCAAGAACATCTGCCTCCGTCTGTGCACAAAGCGTTCGAGCCGCACGGCGAGGGGTTGCAAGGATCCGCGGGTACAACTTCATCCTCGATCGCTGTATCGTTAAGAATATAATCAAACTCGAATAGTGGAAATTACGGAGTAAAATGTAAAAAATCAACAATGAGATTTTTAAGGCAGTGCTTACGTCTTGGATAACAATTCGTGAACGGATCTCCCGTGAAACCTTCAGGACAAACACAAGATGGCGTATGGCTGACGATGTTACAAGCAGCCGATACACCGCAAGAACCCGGACAAGGATCTCTACACTTCTCGTTTATGCAAGCCTGACTGCTCGGGCAATCGGAATGGATCGTGCACTCGGGTCTACAGTTCGGAGGTATGCCGATGTAGGACACGAGACAAGAACAAGACGGCGAGCCGCCAATATCGCGACATTCCGCGTACGGGCCGCACGGCGACGGGACACAAGGATTCTCTGTGACCAGGCCGGGTGGAGGTCCTGCAATTCAAATATGTATTCCGTAAGGGTATATCCTCTATTAAACAGAAAATACTAACAAGCGGAGCACCAAGTTCGGCTAAACACTCCTTAAGATTAGTGTAAGATAAATAAAAAATTATTACAAGTCACAAAAGTTTAAACCAGAATATCTCGAAAACGAATACCCATTCTACGAAAACCAATGAGGGTTTTATATCACTATATATGTACTACAACTTGTACATAGCGTCGTTCCAAAAGCGGCTAGCCAACCTTGGTATTCCTCTTGTAAGTTACCGATCCTGGATCTTGTCTTACTTGGCATTGGGAAACATCTAGTGAACGGATCTCCCGTGTACGCTTCCCTACAGCTACAAACAGGGCTGTGATTCAACACCCTACAGTTAGTGTTCACTCCGCAAGGTTGAGGGCAAGGATTGACACACTTGTTGTTCACGCAAGCCCTATTAGCGGGACACTCGGAGCTCATGACACATTCGGGACGACATCCAGGCGGAGTTCCTATATATTCCGGTAAACATGCGCAAACTGGCTGATCGTTGACAACGTTACATTGACTGTTGGGTCCACATCGGGATGGATTGCAGGGATCTGTCGGGATCGTGTCTGCTATCGCCAAAGAAGTAACAAAAAAAAAGGTTCAGAGTCATTCTGCAGCAGGGTAGGCAAACGAAACTGGTACAGGTTGGTAATTACCAGATAATACGACGGGATTGCAATATCTAAATGGATCACCGGTGAATCCATTTGTACAGGAGCACGTGGGCAAGTGATTAACCACTTGGCAAATCGCGTTCGGGCCACAAGTACCGGGACATGGATCCTGACATTTCTGGCGAACGCAGGCCATGCTCGAGGCACAATCGGTGTTCACGGTACACTCTGGTCGACAGCCTTCGTACGGATTTCCTATGTAGTCTTGCAAACAGGTACACGATCCTGCGCCACTTTGTTCTTTGCACAATGCGTTTGCTCCGCACGGGGATGGTCTACAGGGTGACGCGTCTTCGACGATCGTCGCTACAATTTAAAACACATCGATTCTACTGAAAGTAACTGTATACTCTATGGAATAAACGTAAATATGGTGGTCGACTCGAACTTACGTCGTTGGAGAACGCATTGCGTGAAAGGATCTCCGGTGTATCCACCGATACAGACGCACATTGGCGTGTGGCTCACGGCCCGACATTCCGTGTTCGAACCGCAAGCGCCTGGACACGGGTCCCTGCACTTTTGATTGATACAGGCCAGATTCGACGGACACTCGTTGTTGCTGACGCATTCTGGCCTGCAACTCGGTGGTGTACCGACGAAATCGGCCACGCACGAACAAGATGGCGAATCGTTCACCACACGACACTGTGCGTTCGGTCCGCAGGGAGACGGCTGACACGGGTTTACGGGCACAATCGGTCTGTCCGCTATCGAAGAAATTTTAGATTTGAAACCGTGTGGACGATGACTCTAAATCGATCGAAATTGTATCATTTAAATTCTTCTTACGTATCGGATCGCATCTGGTGAACGGATCTCCGGAGTGTCTCGGAATACAAGTGCAAATCGGATTGTGACTGACAACCTGACATTGGGTCCTGAGACCACAGGTGCCTGGACAAGGATCTATACATTTTTGATTGCTACAGGCCAAGTTACGCGGACAATCGGAACTGACAGTGCACTCGGGTCTGCAAGATGGCGGCGTTCCAAGGTAGCCTTGAAGGCAAGAACAGACAGCCTGTTCGTTCACGACGCGACACTGACTGTTCGCACCGCAAGGAGACGGTCTGCAAGGGTCCTGGGGCATCGGTTCTGCGAGACAAGTATTAAATTGTTTAAGTAACAATTAAATTGTTAAGTATACACATAAGGTGTTGACAGGAATGTGGAACACGTTCACAGGGTGAATTCTACATGCTTGAATTTGTTAAAAAGGCGTGACATGTGTGATTTTGAATGATTTGACAGAACTTTGTAACGCACTTAAACTTCAAGGTAAAAAACGTAGGATGTAACAATGTGCTGTGTGTGTGTATGTATGTGTACTATGGGTACCCTTACTTAAACTGCAGAATCTAACAAATTATCGTTCTTCTAAATTTTTCGAAATATTTTGAGCCCCATAGGCATTTCACTTTTTAGTTAAATGCTCCAGGTGTTCCATATTAGACACCATTTTTTTTAATCGCCGATTCTGACTTTGTTTTCGTCACCTTCTTTTACTATATTTCAAAAGATTCAAACTTATATGTATTTAACTATTTACATATGAGTATCTATTAATTCTGTCGTGTTTTGGCTTGATTTTCATCCTAATTTAGAATGTAGAATCCAGCCTGTGGAAGTGTATCCCAGATTTTTGTCAACACCCTGTAGAAATCGGGCGAAAACGAGGGGATATAGACCTCGTAATACGGAGCAGATTACAAACGCGTTTCCAGACATTCCAGGGGGGCAACTACACATGGGAATGTGGTTGTAAACGTTGCAGATCGCGTTCTGTCCGCAAGTTCCTGTACAAGGATCAACGCATCTCTTTCGAGAGCAGGCTCGATTAATCGGGCAATCGTCATTGATCACGCACTCGGGTTGACAACGAGCGAAGGGATCTCCGATATAATTCGGTGGACAACTGCAGACACCGTTCTCGCATTTCGCGTTTATACCGCAGGGCGAAGGATTGCAGGGGTCTTGTGGGACATCCATCGCTGTAAAGGGATCGAAACATCAATTACGTATGATCTAATTAAGAAATTTTTGAAATCAAGGATCTTACGTGGCGGTGGTAACGGCTGACAACTAGTGAATGGGTCTCCGGTAAAACCTTCAGGGCAAACACAGGTGGGCACGTGTTGGATCACATTGCAAGTTGCACCGATACCGCACGATCCAGGACATGGGTCGGCGCATTTCTCTCTCATGCAAGCTCTATTGCTCGGACAATCGGGATTTATCGTGCATTCTGGTCTACAGTTCGGCGGGCTGCCTACGTAATTCATCGAACAGGAACAGGACGGAGTGCCTCCGATATCGCGACATTCCGAATACGGGCCACATCGAGACGGTACACAAGGGTTCTCAAACACGGTCGGAGATTGTTCTGAAAATAATCACGATTTGTGCTTTTTGCTAATGACGATCGATCGTGGCTCGATCATTCGAGTATTCTCTGTGATTTGTATGCTGATCCAGGGGACCAGGGAATTCCTTACTTGGCGTCGGGAAGCATCCGATGAACGGGTCGCCGGTGAAGTCCAACATGCAACTACATATCGGACTGTGATTCACCACTCTGCAATCTGTGTTCACGCCGCAACGGCCGTTGCACGGATCCTCGCACTTCTGACCGATGCAAGCACGATTCAGAGGGCATTCCGAGCTGACCACACATTCCGGTCGGCATCCAGGCGGACTGCCCACGTAACCGCGATAACAGGCGCACACAGCCTGATCGTTTGTCACGTGGCACTGGCTATTCGGTCCGCATGGCGAGGGGTTACATGGGTTTTCTGGTTCGGGGGCTGGAATGGCGGTGAACATAGTAACTCGATGAGAATAGGTTCAGATCCCTTATCAGACCTTAACTCTTGATACTTTGGTACGGATGCGCATCAGGTTGCACTCGATTGTTTGTTGGGATTAGTCGAGTTAATGGCGGTTATACATACACAGGGTAAACCCTACGTAAGTGTTGCGCCCCAAAAAGGATCTTCCTTGAAGTTTACGAAAAATTGTATTAGACAAAAGATGAACTGTATTCGAAGTGAGAACACAATTTTTTCGTAAAGTTCAAGGAAAGTCCTGAAAGGAGAAGAGTCAGTACACCACTTATAAGATAGACGTATTACGATGGAAGCGAACGTCACGATGGTTAAGCGGTCTCTAATGTTATCCTCCTCATCAGGCGTGGCAAATGATGGGCGATGATGATGGGCGATGTATCATTGGAAATTTCGTGACTTACTGGTCTGTAGCTGAAGGTTGCAATAAGCGAACGGGTCACCGGTGTATCCGGGCCAGCAAACGCAACTGGGCAGGTGATTGATTACCGTGCAATCAGTGTTCTGGCCGCAGGTGCCGGGACACGGGTTCTGGCATTTGGACCTTATGCAGGCGAAATTCGAGGGGCAGTCGGAATTCACCGTGCACTCGGGTCGACATCCTTCGTACGGGTTTCCTATGTAATCCAGGACGCAGGAACATGATCCTGCTCCGTTAAGCTCTTTGCATATAGCGTTTGGACCGCAAGGTGACGGTACACAGGGGGAGGACACCGTGGTTTCGATCTCGGCTACAATAAAATGGGTCACAGGGTATAAACAGGGTTAGCTTTTATCCACACCAGTAACCAAAATACTTTCTTCCCCCAGGCTGTGTTAATATCAATCGCTACTACTATTGGTATACCGTGTATTCGAGGGATCAAATTGGAGGCTTAATCGTCGAATTGTCTTTTGAACACAATTGCAGAGGATCTTACGTCGTTTCAACGTGCACTGCACGAAGGGATCGCCTGTATAGCCGTTAAGACAGCCGCACATCGGTGTATGACTGACCACACGGCATTCAGCGTTGGAACCACACGAGCCCGGACAAGGATCCCGACATTTTCGATCGATGCAGGCCAAATGGCTCGAGCATTCGGTATTGCTCACGCATTCCGGTCGACAGTTCGGCGGATAACCGATAAAGTTGGGCAGACAGGCGCAGGATGGTTTGTCGTTGATCGTTTGGAACACCGAGTTTGGACCGCACTGGCAGGACGCACATGTGTCCTCTGTTGGAACATTCACGGCTACGAAAGGAAACGGGAATGAGAAACACAATAATATTCGGTTAACCACCTGAATTGGAAAGCATGTCGACATATCTTACGTAAAAGTACAGTTCAATGAAATATTTACAATTATTTAATAAAGTTGCCTGACGTTTTTTCCGCTATCTCTCAAGTACTGAAATATTTTAGCGGTTCACATTCGGTAACCTTCCCCTATGCCCTATCTCGTCTCAGAATCGTGTCGTGTACTAGTAATTTCTCTGACCTGTAGTTCATTTCATTACTTTATCGAAGATTTTCCTCGGTTAATTATGATACCAAAAGATTGAACATACGCTTATGGCCCACGTGGTCATCGACTGAATTCCAACCCAAATGGTTAAACGTTGTCCGAAGAACGCGAGCTAGATCAACTATACGTATATCACGATTCTTACGCATGAATTCGCATCTAGTGAACGGATCGCCGGTGAAACCGGAAGGACAACTGCACACCGGGTTGTGATTCACAACCTGGCACAGCGCCTTCCATCCGCAGGTGCCGTTGCAAGGATCGATACACTTCTGATTGTTGCACGCCTGATTCCTCGGGCAATCGGAACTGACCACGCATTCCGGTCTACAGACGGGTGGACTACCGAGATATCCTGGGACGCAGGAGCACACCGCTTGACCGTTTCTCGCTCGACACTGCGTGTTTGGACCGCAGGGGGACGGACTGCAGGGATTCACCTGAGGCGACTCTACCGAAACAACAACAACGGACACACACACACACATTCGTTCAAATTCTACAAGCTTAGAGGAAAAACCATGGATTCCAAGTATCGATTAGAAAAATACCTTTAACGACATCGCAAGATATGAACGCATTGCCGGACATTCCTGTCAGACAACTGCACATCGGCACATGATTCAGGACATTACAAACGGCATTACGGCCGCAGGTACCCGGACACGGATCCACGCACTTGTTCCTCACGCAGGCACGATTCTGAGGACAGTCGGTGTTCAGTACACACTCGGGACGACAACTGGTGTAAGGGTCACCCTGGTATCCCGACAAACAGGTGCAAACACCGCCAGCGTTACACTGGGCGTTCGGTCCGCACGGTGACGGGTTGCAAGGATCGGTTTCGGGCGGTGGCGCTGAAACGGAATTATCGTAGGATTCTTTCTCACCGATAGCACAGAAGAAACGGTCCAGTTTTAGAGAGGTCTTACTTTGTTGCGGTGGCGATGGATAACAATTGCTGAACGGATCACCGGTGTACCCCTCGATGCAAGTGCACATCGGCACGTGATCAAAAACGGTACACCGGGTGCCTATACCGCAGGATCCCGAGCAGGGATCCAAGCATCGTTGCTTCATGCACGCTCTGTCGCTTGGACAATCGGAATTGACGGTGCATTCTGGTCGACAGTTCGGAGGACTTCCGATATTGTTGGGCAGACACTGACAGGATGGTCCGTTGTTGACCACGCGACATTCCGAATAGGGGCCACACGGAGAGGGGAAACAGGGCTGTGAAATTTCGACTTCGGTGGAGAGATGAGGCGCTGGAAGGACAATTGGATAATTAACAAAAATAGCTGTCACTTTGACTTGAAGTTGATCCGAAAGTCTCTTACGTGGAACCGGGAAGCATCTGGTGAATGGATCTCCGGTGTACTGGCCTCTGCACGCGCAGATCGGACTGTGATTCCGGACCGTGCAAGTGGCAAACGTGCCGCACGAGTTTGGACAGGGATCCACGCATTTCTGGTTCACGCATGCTCGATTCGTGGGGCATTCGGTGTTCAACACGCATTCCGGACGGCACATAGGCGGTGCGCCTCTGTACTCCGGGAGACAGGAACAAACTCCCTGGCCGTTGACCACGCGGCACTGGCTGTTCGGTCCGCATAGCGAGGGAGTACACGGGTCCTTGTACTGTGTTTGAACTTCTACACAAGGTTCAGAACGTTCTCAATGGGTTATCGTTGGACGGAAGATTTTCTTCGTGGCATTATTATCAAATAAGAGAATTCAGTGGAAAAAAAAAGTTGTACGGATGTTGGAAACTAATTCGGTGGATACCTGTATCACGGATCAAAGTACAATATTGAAAAGGATTTCCACTGTAGCCCAAGGTACACGTGCATCCAGGTCGATGATCGATGACCTGGCAATCGGCGTTCGCGCCGCAAGTTCCTGGACAGGGGTTCTGACACTTCGAACGAATACAGCTCAAGGTAGGGAGGCAATCCGTGTCGATCACACACTCCGGTCGACATCCCTCGTAAGGATTTCCAATGTGATCGGGAAGGCAGGAACACGAACCGACGCCATTTTGTTCCTTGCATATGGCGTTGAAACCGCATGGGGACGGTTTGCAAGGGGAAAGATAGACCGGCACGACTAAAGAAGTTTCAAGTGTGACGATTAGATACTTGGAAGATTAGATAAACTCCAGAAATTGACGCATGTAGCGAAATTGGAAACGGAGATGCTAATAGATTATACTGGATGATTCACAAAAAAAGAAAAAAGAACACCTAAATGTCTCCGTTAGTATTGAAGGTAGAAGAAAATGTTAAAGAGGTAATTATGTTGATATAAAAAAAATTCTGATTGTTGAAGTCGAACCTCTGTTTAGTTTCTGTTTACTCTATTTTGATTGGTTCCAGGGGGGGACCCATCGCCCCGATGGTGGGAATAACATCGTTGTTCGTGTCGCACTCGTCGAGGTATCATTGTATTTAGGTGTTTTGTTTCTCGTGAATCAACCGGTATACGTTAAAATAGAATGGTTTCTGGATATCTTACGTGGTTTCGGGTCGCACTGTGTGAACGGATCACCAGTGAAGTCCTCGGGGCAGACGCACATCGGCGTATGGCTGACCACACGACAATCCGCGTTACCGCCACAGGAACCGGGACATGGATCACTGCATTTCTGACTTATACAGGCCAGATGACCAGGACATTCGCTGTTGCTGACGCATTCTGGCCTGCAATTCGTCGGTGCGCCTGTGAATCCCGGCAAGCAAGAACACGAGGGTGAATCGTTCACCACTCGACATTGCGAATTCGGACCGCACGGGGAGGGTTCACATGGGTTCACGGTTGGAATATCATTGGCTAGAAATATAGAGAATCGATTATCATCTGCAAACAGCGTTGTGGTAACAGGTAATGGTACACGAAGGTTGTTTGATCCTTACGTCGCGATATGCACTGAACAAACGGGTCACCGGTCAATCCCTCCGAGCAACTGCACACGGGATTGTGATTGACCACGTGGCAGACAGCTCGGAAACCACAGGTACCAGGACACGGGTTAATACATCGTTGATTGCTACACGCCTCGGTCAAAGGACAATCCGAGCTGACGGTGCACTCTGGCCTGCAAGAAGGCGGTGCACCGAGGAATCCTGTCACGCAGGTGCAAACTGGTTGATCGTTCGCCACGCGACAGACACTGTTTGGACCACACGGCGAGGGCGAGCAGGGATTCCTCTGAACGGGATCTATACGGTGGTAAAAGAGGAAGAATAATTGAAAGACCGTGGACTCGATATACATTCCGCCCAAAAAATGAAAGGATCGTGAAAGTTTTCTTCGCGAAACTGAAAGATTTCTGAAGGCGTGAAAGAAAAGAAACGAGGCTATACCTCGAGCCACGGAACACTGAACGAAAGCATTTCCCTCCATTCCGTTTGGACAGCTACACATGGGAATGTGATTGAACACGATACACTGGGCGTTCCTGCCACAGATGCCTGTACAGGGATCGATGCACTTGTTCCTCACGCAGGCACGATTCTGCGGGCAATCGGTGTTCAACACACATTCGGGACGGCAGCCGACATACGGATCGCCCTGATATTCCGGCAGGCAGGTACAAGCGCCGACGATACATCGTGCGTTCGGGCCACACGGTGACAATGCGCAGGGATCGATGGTGACCGGCACAGCTGAGGAAAGAAATCGAACTCTCTAGCTATTCTCTGTATCAACACCAGGACTTGAAACGATTCCGGAAAGAACTGTTTCAAACTGTCCTGGTGAGTGTTTCGGACACTGCGTGAAACTGATATGAGAGCTGATACAGGAACCGCAACTAAAACTGCTATAGTCCTGAAATTTAGGTTCTTCGTAAGAGTTATTCAGAATAAAGTTTCCTCGTAATTCTTCGAAGAACCCAAATCGATATTCGTGAATTTCTACTTTTCTGTTCCGAGGGGTTTCTTACGTAGTTCGGTGGGAGCCAGGCGACAGTCGCTGAACGGATCACCCGTGTATCCATCGGGACAGGTGCACACGGGCACGTGATTGTGAACGGTGCAACGTGACGTGGCGCCGCACGATCCACGACAAGGATCACGGCACTTCTCGCCTGTGCACGCGAGATTCATGGGACAGTCCGAGTTCACGCGACACTCCGGTCGACAATTCGGCGGGGATCCAATATACCGGGGCGGACAGGAACAGGACACTGTGCCGCCGATATTCCTGCATTCCCCGTATACACCACAAGGGGATGGTAAGCAGGGATCTATCGAGGCTAGGGAGTAGTCGTTCGACGGTGGTTCTGTAAATTGCAATCATAATCGTCGGATGAAGAGATAGTGTTTCTAAATTGCATAGAGAATTCTATACTGAGTGGAGCACTCTGGCCTGGAACCACTTCGATACTACGTAACTAATGATTTTCAATGAAAAGTGTTTCAGATGAAAGTATATAACTTTTATCTGAAACATTGTTTACGAAAATGATTATTTACGCAATATCAAAGCGATTTCAATTACGCGCTCCACCTTGCATATTCGATGATACGAGGGACAGATGATCGTGGGGACGAAATGGTCCAGAAGAGAAGATTCTTACGTGGCGCAGGGAAGCATTTGGTGAACGGGTCGCCGGTGTATCCAAGCTCGCAGATGCAAATTGGACTGTGGTTGATCACCTTGCATCGGGTGTTGATACCGCACGAATTCGTGCACGGGGTGGCGCATCTTTGATTGACGCACGCTAGCTCCAGGGTACAGTCGTTGTTCACCACACACTCGGGATGACAATTCGGTGGATTCCCGATGAAATTCGTGAGACAGGTACAGACAGCGTGATCGTCCACGTTTCGACATTTACTGCTCGGTCCGCAGGGAGACGGGCTACATGGTTCTACGGGGGTGGCTGTACAGCGGGTAAAAGTTCGTACATTAGAAGACCCCTGCATGATACATTTAGGTCTGAACGAGAGCTATTGTGAATGATAAGTGTTGATGTTCTTTCTAACTAGGTGCTTTTTTGTGCTAGAGAATTCACCGGTAGTGCGAGATGGATCTATGATACAGGCGTGAGCCTCGTAACACGATGCTCTCGATTAACTCCGTGGATTACACTGGGTAACAATAAAAATGTTTTCTCCCAAAAAAGATGGGACAAACTTCTTTGCAGTTTTGTTATCGGAAGCTCTGTTTCCGTGAAATTAGCAGCTGAACGAACTCATGCAACTGCTACTATCTCGGAAATGAAGATTCAGATTACAAAACAGTAAATGACTTTTCGATTCGTATTTACATGAGGAATACGCATGTTGCGGATGTGTCTCGTCTATTTATATGTCACCCTGTATATATATATTCTAATGATCCAGCTGTGAAATCATATTCAAAGGATTCGTACGAAATTGGAAGCTTACGATCGGACATGACCGGGGAACAGTACGTGAACGGGTTGCCGGTGTATCCGGGACTACAAGAACAGACTGGAACGTGATTGATCGTTTCGCATCGGGTTTGCAGTCCACAGGTCCCCAAACATGGGTCCCTGCACTTCAGGCTCGTGCAGGCCATCGTCTTGGAGCAATCGGAATTTTGGGTGCATTCGGGCCTGCATCCATCGTACGGGTCACCTATGTAATCCGGTGGACAGGAACAGGAGACGACACCGTTGTTCTCGCGGCAGATCGCGTTCGTGCCGCACGGGGAAGGCTCGCATGGTTTCCTAATGTCTAGGGGATCATCTGGATGGAAAGAGAAACACCAATTTTTCCTTGTAAATTCTGTGATGATCGCGTGGGTTCATGCAACAACGGCGGTCGCTCGATGATAAGCTTGTGTGCGGTGGATTTCGATTGTTTTCCCGTTCCGTTCGTGGCGAACGAATGTGATAAAAATTAAGCGGAAGCTGGGGGTCTTGGCGATTTTGATCCTTCAGCGGGCACAATCCTCGATCGTGTTCAATTATAGGCCTGCCTCGTGTTTCAGTCTCGAATAGGGTGTTAGGGTATTTCGGGTACCAGGTGCTTGTTTTAAGGGAGGCTACTACATTGCATCGCAGCATCGTTATTTGCGTAATCTCATTCGGGTAGTTTAAGTTTCGGTTGTTAGGGTCGGGGAATACTTTTTTTTTTTAATGCATAAGCGTGTCTGGGGGGGGGGGGGGATAGACATGTTTTTATAAGCGTGTTTACCATCCATGTACTTTTAGGATTAATTTCTTTGTGTCAGTTTTAGGTCGGTGTGTTTCTTCCAGGGACGCAGGGCAATAAGTGTCCCCAGAATCTTCGAAACACCGACGTGGGACATATACATAGGTACATTCCAGGGCCACCGCTAAACGTAATGATGGGAAGCGATATTATATGCCTTTGGGAATGATAAATGCGTGCAGCATTCGCTCTATAATGGAGTGTACGGGTATCGTATGTCTTTCAGGGATGAGTGCAATTACGAGCCTATTACTCCATAGGCCCCGCCACCATTTTTGTCTCTTAATTATGTCATTGATGGGGTTACATTCCGGGCGAGGGGGTGAGGGTAGTACGCAATGGGGGGGTAAGATGAAGGCGTGCTCTTCACGATGAACTCGGTTAATCGCATAGGTATTGGGAGGATGATTCGTTGTTATCGAGTTTTCATGAGTGCGTATTACGTTTCTCTAGGCCCCACCACCATGCGGTGACACGCTTTGTCACCGGGTTAGGGCCTCGGTTTCGTGTTATTTTCATTATTCGTCCAGGCGGATAGGACGTGTTTTTCGTTTGTGTTAGAGGAAAACACGAGATGATAGGCGATATGAAACGAGTGAACAAGCACTTACCTGCGGTTCGCCAGCATGCGAGTGGCGAGGGTTTTTTTTGTTTGCATTAATAAAAAGAATGAAAAGATATATAAACGACAGGAAAAAAAAACTGTTGTGGCAGTGGACTCACCCTTGGTGACCGGCTCGCACACGCTGAACGGATTTCCGGTGTAACCCTCCGCGCACGCGCACACCGCGTGGTGATTCACCACCGAGCACTGCGAATTCGAACCGCACAAACCGACACACGGATCGCGACACTTTTGTTGCATACACGCCAAATGCGGCGGACACTCCGGATTGATCGTGCACTCGGGTCGACAATTCGGCGGCGCACCGATGTAATTCTGTACACAGGAACAGACTGGACTGTCGCCTCTCACTTGACACTCCGCGTTCGGTCCGCACGGCGACGGTTGGCAGGGGTTCATGTGTTTCGGTGGTTCTCCTACGAGCCAAAGAAAGTGGAATTAACATCTGTGCGTGTGTTTGTGGAATAGAAATGTAGTAGGTGAACCCAATAGAAGTGTAGTAGGTGCCGGTAATATATGTATTGTATATCGGGGGAGTACTCACTGGGCATCGGGTAGCATCTGGTGAACGGATCGCCTGTGTGTCCCTCGTAGCAGATACAAATCGGATTATGATTGACTACACGACAATTCGAGTTCTGGCCACAGGTGCCTGGACACGGGTCCTGACACTTGTTACTCAGACAGGCTTGCGTCAATGGACAATCCGCGCTGACCACGCACTCTGGCCTGCAGGCAGGAGGACTGCCTATCAGCCCTGGTTGACAGGAACAGACCGCGTGATCGTTTATTACTTTACAGATGCTGTTCGCTCCGCACGGAGACGGGTTGCACGGTTGTTTTCTTGGTTCTGAAATGTTAGGTGCTATTACGAGGAACTGAAAATACATGATAGGCGAGTAATGTTCAAAGAAATAAACGTACCGTCAGCTACGTGTGTTCGACAAAGAGTGAACGGATCCCCGGTAGTGCCGGGTGGACAACTGCACATTGGAATATGATTGACCACGTCGCAACGTGCGCTTGTGCCGCATGTGCCGAAACAAGGATCCACGCAGTAATGATTCGCGCACGACTTGTCTCGAGAACAGTCCGAATTCATGGTACACTCTGGACGACAATACGAATACGGATCGCCAAAGTAATTCGGAAGACACTGACAATTACCCTCGTCGCATTCTGCGTTTGGTCCGCAAGGTGACGGATTGCACAGATCCTCTGGTACTTTCGGTTGTTCTGTAAAGCATAAACGGTAAACGTGTGAACACAGGAAAAATTTGAAATAGAAAACAACACGGGGTGAGTATAAATTTTACTTTACTTAGGACCTAACGAAACCTTCGATAAGGGAGAGAAATCTCTGACTGAACTTTGAATTCGATAGATTGATCTTTAAAGAAGCGGAATCTCCATAACGTCCACACAGTTTCATCGCAATCAACGTACCTATTACTTGTGTACAGAGTGTGAAAGGATCGCCGGTGTAACCTGTTTGGCACAGACAGACAGGAATGTGATTCTGTACCCGGCAATCTGCGTTCTGGCCGCACGATCCAACGCAAGGATCGCGACATTTCTCGGAGATGCAGGCTTGATCCGATGGACAGTCTGTGTTCACAACGCACTCTGGCCGACAGTTCGGTGGAAGACCAATGTAATTCTTCAGACAGGAGCAAGCGGCTTGATCGCCGATCGCTCTGCATTCCGCGTACAGTCCGCAAGGACTTGGCGTGCATGGATCGCCGACCGGTGGAACTGGAGTGACTGAAAGAGAATCGGAAATCAAACATCGTTACCTTTCCACGGTGAATTTCAAGTATCATGGCTGATGATTCTCTTGGTGTTCGGTATCATATGAAGTGACAAAAAGACACTAACCTGTCTGTGGGAAGCATCTGGAGAACGGATCTCCGGTCATTCCCTGAGGACAGCTGCACAACGGATTATGATTGATTACACGACAATTGGCCCCCACTCCGCAGGTTCCTGGACAAGGATCGCTGCACTTGTGCTTGTAGCAAGCTCTGTTCGGCGGACATTCCGAGTTCACGACACACTCGGGTCTGCAGTTAGGTGGTGTACCAACGAACGTTTCCTGACACGTGCACACAGCTTGTTCGTGCACGGCTCGACACAGACTGTTCGGTCCACACGGCGATGGGCTGCACGGATCTGTTACGGTTGGTTCTGTGTCCGTGGGAATCGGTATGTTGCAGATCGCGAAAGGATCTCCCACGAAGCCAGGCTGACAAGTACAAGTCGGTATATGATTGATGACCGAACATTGAGCCTTGACACCGCATATCCCTGGACAGGGATCCTCGCATTTGTTGCGAACGCAGGCTTTGTTGGTCGGACAGTCGGAACTGAGGATACACTCGGGCTGACAGCCCTCGTAAGGGTTGCCGTGATAGTCATCGATGCATATGCAGGCACCGATATTGTCGCGTTGCTGGCAGACGGCGTTCGGGCCACACGGTGAGGGTTCACACGGATTGATAGCTTCCTCTGTGATTGCGAAGAAAACATTGTGCATGGAATATTTATTAGAACATTTCAGATAGGCTTATTAATCGAAGGTGAATATGATGATAAAGAAACGTACCTTCCAATTGGACGCACTGAACAAACGGATTTCCCGTGTAACCGGGTGTACACAAACAGACGACAGCGTGATTAACGACGATGCACTTGGCGTTTTCAGGACAGGATCCTGAGCATGGATCCGTGCACTTTGAATTGATACAGGCTTTGTTGTTTGAACAGTCGGGATTTATCAAACACTCTGGACGACAGAACGGTGGAGTCCCTATGTACGTAGATAGACAAGAGCAGGATGGATGATCGTTGATGTTCTGACACCGGGCGTTTGGTCCGCAGGGCGATGGACTGCAAGGATCACCCGTATCTTTGGCATCTGGTTCGGCTGAAATGATTCGATCGTTGCATGTTTTAGTGTCCTCTTTGGTGTATCGCGTTGAAATAGCCAATAAAGTAACAAGATAAGTTCCTTACTTTGAATGTCGTAACAACTCTTGAAAGGATCTCCGGTCTGTCCAGGAAGGCAGCTGCAGATCGGCGAATGGTTTATCACTTCGCATCTCGCGTTCAAACCACAGGAGCCCAAGCAAGGATCCGTGCATTTCTTGTTCACGCAGGCTCGAGTTGGCGGGCACTCTGAGCTAACCACGCACTCTGGTCTACAAGACGGCGGAGAACCGAGGTAACCTTGCAGACAGGAGCACACCGCGTGATTCTCTATGTTACGACACTGACTGTTCGGTCCGCAGGGTGACGGTGAACACGGATTTCTCGATGGCATCGGAACTGTAACATATTTCATGGTTCGAGAAATATCACATTACACGAACGCAGCGATGGCCTTTAAAAAAGGTGACTGTATTTACCAGGAGCCTGAGCACGACAACTGACGAAAGGATCTCCAACGTGACCAGGCGGGCAAGAACAACTGGGTATATGATTCACGACGTCGCAAAGAGCTTTTTGGCCACAGGCACCAGGACAAGGATCCTTGCACTTGTTTCTGAGACATGTTTTGTCGCGAGGACACTCCAAATTGAGAACGCATTCCGGTCGACAAGCTTCGTAAGGATTGCCCAAGTATTCCGGAAGACACTCGCAATTGCCGTCTGTGCATACGGCATTCGGTCCACAAGGCGATGGATTGCAGGGATCACTGATTGGTCGCAACGTGGCTAGAAAAGAAATTTCAAATACAATAAAAGTGAAGGTGAAAAATCACAATGCAGACTTTGAAGATTTTACAAAATTCAAGAGACTGAAGCTCAGAAGAATCGAAAAGCAATCTTACTCGGAGGAACGACTATGCACTGCGTGAAAGGATCACCGGTGAAACCTTCCATGCACGTGCAAACAGGTATGTGATTCAGGACGTGACACTGGGCGTTCACTCCGCAAGAACTGACGCAAGGATCTTGGCACTTTTGGTTGACACAGGCAAGATGACTCTTGCACTCCGAGCTCAGAATACATTCTGGTCGGCACTCTGGAGGAACTCCGATGTAATTCGATAAACATGAACACGCTGGATTCCCGGATATGATCTGGCACAAGGAATTCGGACCGCAGGGCGATGGCGTGCAAGATGGCGGCCGTTCCGTGGTCGATGGAACGTCGAAAGCTAATGAACGGAATTACAATTGAATATCATCTATTGTTATATCGTTATGCATGTGGATATATATGTTTGAAAGTTTCAATGTAATCTTACCGATTAGCGAACACTGAGTGAACGGATCACCGGTGAATCCACCGGGACACGTGCAAATCGGATTATGGTTTTTGGTGGTACACTGTGCTCTCAATCCACAAGTGTTAGGGCAAGGGTCCGTGCATTTCTTGTTCAAACATGCCAGATGCGGTGGACACTCGGCGTTCACGACACATTCCGGTCGACAGTTCGGTGGAATTCCTCTGTATTCCGGGAGACATGTGCACACGGCTTGACCGTTTACCCCTCGACACTTGCTATTGGGCCCGCATGGCGACGGTGAGCACGGATCTAACGGAGGTCCTTCTAAATTCACATTTGTAAATACAAGTGTCAGTAACGAAATATTCAGTATGAGACAATTAAAATTTTTATTAATTAGTAATATTTAATCGATTTTAGATGTCTATAGTATCGAAAAGCTTCATTTTGTTCAAACTCACTCGTCATTTCTTTGACTTCACAGGCGAAGTACGGATCGCCTGTATATCCGGGCGGGCAGGTGCACACGGGAACGTGTTGTTGGACATTGCAAATGGACAAAGTACCGCAAGTACTTGGACAAGGATCTGTACACTTGAACCCGATACACGCCAATTGTGGAGCGCAATCGTTGTTCGACTCGCATTCACGGTGACAGCCTTTCTCGGTGTCGTAGGGATCGCCAATAAGATCCGGCGGGCATGCACAGGCCCCTGCTCCGTTTCTCTCGCGGCACTGAGCGTTAGGACCGCAGGGATTCGGTGAACATGGATTGGCCACGCTTGTGTCCGTTGCTGGAAAACGGAAAAATGATAAAAAAAACGCTAGAATATTCAGGACCCACTTTTTCAACGACATATCAAAACTTAGACTTACTTGGAGTAGGCGCCAGGACACATCGAACACTGGCGTCACCTTCGTACCCTTCCGGACAGGTGCAGATCGGAAGGTGATTCTGAACTGTGCATCTGGCCAGTTCACCGCAGGCACCAGGACATGGATTCTTGCACCTTTGTTTTATGCAAGCCGCCGAGTGGAAACAGTCGGAGTCGTCTGTGCACTCGGGTCTGCAATTCGGTGGTCGTCCAATGTAGTTCAGCAGACAGGAACAGGCTGGTTGCGAACCGATCACTTTGCATTGCGAGTTCGGTCCACAGGGATTCGGAGAGCATGGATTGTCGGCGCCTTTCGACGGTACTTGAGGCAGGTTCACTTTCGTGCACTGAACCAACGGATTGCCAGTATAACCGGCGGCACAAGTGCAGATCGGATTGTGGTTTACGGTCAAGCATTTGGTGTTCACTCCACACGATCCTGGACACGGATCGGCGCACTTGTTCTCGATACATGCTTTATTCTGAGAACACTCCGAACTGACGATACATTCGGGGCGACAGGTGGGCGGTATCCCAACGAATCCTGGTTGACAGAGACACACCGCGTGTCCGTTGTGAACGCGACAGTTGCTATTGGGTCCGCAAGGCGAGGGATCGCAAGGATTTTCCGGCATCGGTTCAGGTGTCATTTCGGATCTGACGCAGACGTTCAACGGATCCCCGGTGAAACCCGGCAAACAGGAGCACGACGGAGCATGATTCACCACTCTACAGGTGGCTCCTTCGCCGCATGTGCCGGGGCAAGGATTTACACACTTATTGTTCAAGCAAGCCCTGTCGCGATCGCAATCGGTGTTCGTCACGCATTCAGGTCTGCAGCCTGTGTACGGATCACCGATATATTCCGATAAACACGTACAGGATCCCACGCCGTTTCTCTCGTTGCAGATAGCGTTCGCCCCGCAAGGAGATGGATAACAGGGGGTGCGAGGTTGCTCGGTTGTGATGGGTTCTGTAGGAAAGAAAACACAAGCGTTTTTTTCGTGATTCGAATAGACATTATTTTGATGTGCTTAAGAGAAACGAGAGCAGTACCTTCTATAATAGGTGTACATTCGGTGAACGGATTTCCAGTGTACCCAGCATTGCAAATGCAAACAGGATTGTGCTTCACGACGTTACAGAACGTGTTCACGCCGCATGAACCTGGACAAGGATCGACGCATTGTTCGTTCTGACAGGCGAGATTGCCGGGACAACCGTCGTTAATAACGCACTCCGGACGACAATTAGGAGCTCTGCCTACATAGTTGGCGAGGCACGAACACGCAGGGAAACCGTCTATCACACGACATTGAGAGTTAGGCCCGCATGGTGATGGTAAGCAGGGAGTACCGCTTGGTTCCGGTCCTGGTACTTTGCCTTCCGCTTTATAAACAAAAGATCCCGACCTTTTCGTTAGAATGAATTACCAGATATAGACGTACGGTGGCGTGCACGATATGAAAATAAAAATCATACGTTCTTTAACGCATCCGAAGAATGGATCACCGGTGTATCCGAACGAACAACTGCAAACTGGATTGTGGTTGATCACCTGGCAGTCAGCGTTCTGTCCACAGGTGCCCACACATGGGTCACCGCATTTCTCGTTGATACACGCTGTATTCTGCGTACAATCTGTGCTAACCACGCACTCCGGACGACACTGCGGCGGGCTGCCGATGTAATTCGGCTGACAAGAACAGACCGCGTGGTTGTCGACCACGCGACAATTACTGTACGGACCACAAGGAGTTGGTTGGCATGGATCACCGACTGGTATCGGTGTTACTGGAACAAGACAAAAGATAGACACAATTATGTCGAAAGAACAGAGGGGAGAATATAAGAAAATTCGTCAGTATTGCAATTCTTACCAGGCGACAAGTGACAGGATTTCAGTGGATCGCCGGTGTAATCGGACAGACAGCTACAGGAAGGCTGATGATTGATCACCTGGCACTGAGCGTTCAATCCACAGGCACCCAGGCACGGGTCCTTGCACTTGTTGTTTATGCAGGCTTTCGACTGTACGCAGTCAGAGTTCTGTACGCATTCCGGCCTGCAGCCCGCGTACGGATCACCCGTGTAGTCGGACAAACAGGCACAGGAACCGACACCGTTTCTCTCTTTGCAGACCGCATTCGCACCGCAGGGCGATGGATCGCAGGGCAGCGATTCCGGGAATGAAGCTACCAGAAAGTACAATAAATAATAAGCTTGCCAACAACAAAACCCAAAAAGATCGATACCGTTCTACGAAAATCATCAGTTCTCAGATTGACCAAGTCGTAGAAGTACCTTTGCTACATCCAGAGAAGGGATCCCCTTCGTAACCAGCGTAACACTGGCACATAGGTCGGTGATTCTGAACAGTGCAATTCGTGTTGAATCCACAGGATCCAGCGCAAGGATCCACGCATTTCTTCTGGACGCAAGCAAGATAATTCGGGCAATCCTGATGGATCAAGCACTCCGGTCGGCAGTTCGGCGGCGCTCCGAACATACCGCTGATACATGTGCAGACAGGATGATCCTCTTGGACACGACAATCCGCGTTCGGTCCGCACGGTGACGGTGTACAAGGATTCTTGGGTCGTGGTACCGGTAGTGTCACTGACGCAGGGACAAACCGATAATAAACTTTTCAGCACACAAACAACAAATGGCAAGCCATAGAAAGTATTAAAGAGTTTTTATTACCTTCTTTGACGCATTGCGTGAACGGATCTCCGGTGTACTCCGATGGACAGCTACAAATCGGATTGTGACCGACCACTTGACAAAGAGCGTGCTGACCGCACAAACCAGGACAAGGATCGACGCATTTCTGCGAGATGCAAGCCATGTGCACAGGACAGTCGGAGCTGACTAGGCACTCTGGCCGACAAGATGGCGGCGTGCCGTGGTATCCCGGGCTGCACGAGCAGACCGCGCGATCGTTCATCACGCGACAGATGCTGTGCGGACCGCACGGCGACGGCATGCAAGGGTTCTGGGACGAAGGTGCTGGAGAATTCAATGGAAGAAAATTAATTCTCCTCCTCTGAACACGCATCCATCGGTCGATAACGCGTGATCGTTAAAAGAACTTACGAGACTTTTCGATCTTACAGGAGCCGAACGGATCTCCCGTGTATCCAGGCAGACAAGAACAAACCGGAACGTGATCGTCCACCTCACACCTAGCGTTCGAACCGCACACACCCGGACAGGGATCTCTGCAGTGCTGATTGAAGCAGGCCAGATGAGTTTCGCAGTCGTCGTTCACGAAACACTCGGCCTCGCAGCCGTTCATGTACGCGTTCCCAATGTACGGCGGGACGCATTCGCATCTCGCGACACCATTGTCGTTGATACAGATCCCGTTCTTGCCGCAAGGTGTGAGTAAACATGGATCGGGGAGGTGCGGTGGCGGAGCTAAAAGAAAACATTTATTAGGGTATTATACGCTTGATCGATGAAACAAAAAAATCCAATAACACTCTAGGGTCTTTTACCCGCGCAACTCTGATAAGGATTCCCAACGGTATGCTCGGGACAGTAACAAGGCGGATTTCTGTTCGTGTCGCATATCGCGCTAAGCCCGCAAGGATTCGGTGCACACTGGTTCGTCTTCGGCAGGCAACCCCTGATTGTATTGGTGCTCTCGATATATCCGGGCAAACAGGTGCATTTTGATTGGCCGTTAGCAAGAATGGTGCACTGGGTATTGGGCCCGCAAGGTGACGGGTCGCAAGGGCTGCTCGGTAGCCTACACGCGGATCGAGGAGGATTTCCCTCGTATCCCGGCAGACAGAAGCATCTCAACTGGCCAGCCACCACACGGCAACCGGAATTCGGCCCACATGGACTACCTCTGCACATATCACCGTCTGGAACTGAAAGAAAGTTGGTCATTAAACATTTATATTTGCCAATAGTTTCGGTCTTTCTTGCGAGTTAAACTTTTAAGACACTTACTGCACTGTTCGAACGGATTGCCGGTCAAACCTTTCGGACAGAAGCAGATCGGATTCCCGTTATCGTTCTCGCACATTGCGTCCAAACCGCAAGGATTCGGAACGCAAGGATCCGAGGTTAATGCCGTGCAACCGATCAAAGGATTGCCCTCGTATCTCGGCAAACATTTGCACTGTGCCTGATGATTCGCCGGCAAACAGTTTGCATTTGCTCCGCAATCGGTCTCCAGACAAGGGTCGATACATTGTCTGTTCAGGCGATCGCAGTACTTGCTCGGCGGACAGTCCTCGTTGTAGTGACAGATATTCTTGCCCTCGTCGTCTGGAAATATTCGACGAGAATCATTCAGGAGCCTTTACGAATCGAACGGAATATACGCACTTCGAGACAAAAAGGATATAAGACAGCCCTTAAATTTTTAGTGTTTCGCAAATGTGGTGCAGTACCACAGAAATTCTATAGGGCACAGATCCCCACAGGAGTCTCCTCCTTATCATTTTTTCGCGAAGTGTATACGTTCGATTTAATGGGAATAATTACCCAGAGCACAGTAGAGGAATCCATTCCCACGGTAGCCGTCGTCGCACCTACACTCCGCACGATGGTTCGTGTTCACGCAAACCGCGTTTCTCACACACGGATTCCGGATGGGACACGGTTCCTGGCATGTGCCCGCGATGCAAGCCGTGGTCAACGGGCAATCTTTGTCGTTAGTGCAACCCGCTAGAGAAAGATCGAGAATAGCCCGTATAGCCCATAGAAAGTGTGTGCACGAGGAAAGAAAGGATTGTAGTCGCGGTTAAATGCGTGGGCTTTGCGTGTGAAGACGCGGCTCGAGGCGGATCAGCTTGTATGAAACATTGTTTCGTGCGCGATCATCGAAAAATAACAACTAAACGATTCAACAACTCAGATGACTCGTGAACTTGAGAATCTGAAGGAGAAGCAGACCTACGTCGAACATTTGGAAGTTAGAAGGAAAATATCGACGCGGTCTAAAATTCGAAAGTAAAAAATCGTGAAAGACAGAACCATTCGGGTGCGTCGAAGTAAAATCGGTAATTACGTTCGTAGGATATATATGTATGTACAAGTACGTATGTACATATTTACAGAATATTATCGATCGTTCGCTGTAAAGAATGGAAACATAAACCGCGCAAATTCCATAGCGCTCGTTGTTCTTGTACAAACCTTTCACGCATGTGTTCGTCCCTGGATCGCACTGCATACCGGGCGGACAGTATGGACAACTGGTGTCGTTCAATATCTCTGTGGAAATTCGGAGAATATTCAATTAATATCATGGGTTGTTTGTGCACGATGAGAGTGTATAATCTTGAATGATATTCTACCTTTCGCGCAGACTGGTCGGTGATCCTGAACGTGGCAAACCTCCACGAAGTCGCACGGGTTCTCCACGGTGCACGGATTCAGGCACTTTTGATTTATGCAGGCCAACTGGGAGAGACAGTCGTCGTGGGTTCGACATTTCGCATCTAACGAAAGGACAGACGTATTTTAGAGAATCTCGAAGTAACGAAGCTTCGATTCGTAACGCTAAAAAACGAAAACTAATCCACAAAATTGAACGTCGTTCATTGAACTCGTCTAATGATTCCTCTAAACGACTAAACATATAATGTTCTAACAAAAAATCATACAAAAAAAAACTACACAATAATAAACACAGAAAACACATTCGACTTATTCCTAAAACATACAATATATGGTTCTCGTGTTACATGTGTAAAAAAGCCCAGAAGTAGTGGTTAGTACGTTCCACTCTTAAAGGGAAGTATTCAACTCACAGTGTTGTATAATTTTCATAAATTGAACTTTTTATAATTAAAACGACCATTGATAAATTGAAAAAGAAACTCGAACGAATCGTTATTCGTGGAATTGAAAAACTTTCCTTTGAGAGTAGAACTTGACAGAAAAAAAAAATAATTACAATTAATCGTTATTGTACAGACAGAAGCGGCAAGAGTTCGTGCGGAGGCACATTAATATATGATACATCATGCAAAGAGCGCTAATGCAGCAGGTCCGTATTGTCCTGCACTGGATCGTAGCACTGCACTGTGATTACTACGTCGAATGAATATATTTGATGTGTGTGTGTGTGTGTGTATGTGTGTAACATTTCGTCCGGCACAAGTACCCCGATACGTTTTTTACGATCGAGACCAAGCCTGAAACGGTCTCTGGATCTCAAGCGACACAACACTCCAGAGTTTTGGTCGCCTCCAATTTTGCATCTGGATAATACGAGAACGAAGACACAGATTGGAGAAACGAGTTTTCGTGGCGACACGTTTCTCTGGTGAATACGAGAAAACATTTACAACAACAACAACAAAAATACTCCCGACAAGAATGATCTTTACCTGGGAGTATGCTACAATTAGTTGTACTCTGGCCGATTGTTAGGTCGAAGCACACGGGCCGATCGCTCGGTACGTCGCATTTCGACTTATCCGAGCATTCTGTGTCAATCTTACACCAATTCAGGCATGAACCGTTCACACAGATTTCGCATAATGAACCGGGTTCCGTAAATGATTGCACGGTTGTTTCAAGTGATTCTGTGAAATATTGTGTGGTCGTTGAATATTCTTCTATGGAATGCTGTTCGATGGTTGGAGTGCATTCTGTGGAATGCTGTTCAGTGATCGGTGTGTATTCTGTGAAATACTGTTCTGTTGGTGGAAAATGTTCTGTGAAGTATTCCTGACCTGTTGATGGTCGATCTGTATTGTATAATTCAGTTGTGGAGGATTGTTGAGTTGTGGAGAACTGTTCAGTTGTGGATGGTTCTTTAGTGAAGTGCTGTTCAGCTGTAGAGGACTGTTCAGTCAACGACTGTACTGTGGTGTATTGTTCGGTTGTTGAATGTTGTTCTGTGAAGTAGTGCTCAGATGTTAACAATTGTTCTGTGGTCGACAAATGTTCGGTGGAATACTGTTCGGTCGTTGAAGAATATTCTGTAAAATATTGTTCACTCGAAGACCCTGGTGTGATATATCGATCGGTTGTTAAGTATAGATCTGTAGTTAATGGTTGTTCTGTAGTGTACTGCTTGGTTGTTGAAGATTGCTCTGTGATGTACCGATCAGTTATCGATGATTGCTCCGTGGTGTACTGTTGAGTCGTTGATAATCGTTCGATTGTAGACGATTGGTTTGTAGAATATTGTTCAGTTGTCCCAGGTTGTTCTGTGAAGTGTTCTCGTGTTGTTGAAGATTGTTCAGTCGTATAACCGACAGTGGTTTCTCGATTCAAAGGATATTGAGCCGTCACGGTGACAACTGTTTCGTGCTGTGTGGGGTACTGTGCAGTCAGTGTAACATCTTCAAGTGTGATTAAACTAGAACCTTGTGTAGTAATTCGCGTCACAGTCGAGTTATCTTCGAACAGAGAACTTTCTGTGGGATTATTTTCGGCGGCGTTACTCTCGCGAGACTCTGTGATTTCTGTCGATCTTTCTGTAGTGTATTCTCCCACGGAAACCGGTGTTACTGTAAAAACGTGTTCCACCGAGGATGTTCCCGGTGAGTGTCTATTATACGTGAGAGCTGTCACGATTTGAACTTTATTGGTCGATTCGTCGGATTTCGTTAACTGCGTCGTAGATTCTACTGTACTTTGCGTGATGGTCGCATATTCTGTAGTTTCTGACAGAAACTTTGTACTGGAATCGATCAACGACGAAGTTGTCGCCTCCAGTTTTGTTGTATCAGAAACTGCTTCCCAAGTTGTCGTTTCTATCGGTGTCACTAGCAGAGTAGTTTCTGTATTTTCGTCCGAAGTATCTTTAACCGTAGACAGTTCGAAAGAATGTGTACCAAAATCCGTTGTAACTGCTGTCGTCGGCTGAGTTGAGCTATTCTCCACAAACGTGATCGTATTTTTTTCTACACCCGCGGACACTGTGCTTTCCACAGTGTACGGAACCGTTGACACCTCCTCGGTGGTAACGCAAGAAGTTGTAACTGACTGTGTGGTCGTTGATAGTGTAGCTGTTCCATTGGTCCCTAGTGTCGAATATTCAACAGTGGAGAAGGTGTTAGTATCATCGTGATCGTCGGAGCCGCAAATTGGCCTGTGTGCTTTAACCCGACACCGAGCTACCGATTGACAGACGATCACGCAGGGATCGACGCAGATGCCTTCGATACAGGCTTCTCTGTCGTCGCAGTAGTCGTCGGACTCGCAGAGATTGTCGGACGTGTGGTTGAGAACTGCTGCGGATACAATACAATAAATAAGACACAACAAGTGGATCGTGTACGAGAATCGAAGAGATTTTATGTTACAAAAGAGGCTGAAAAAAAAAACGTTCAAGCGGTCTCACTCCAAATTAGACTATTACTACGCAATTATCCAATAATACTGTGTTTTTACTCCATAATGTAGGATCTACGAATTAAGGTTATCAGTCGGGGCATGCTTTGCATAACAACAGACAAGCAAATCGCTCGGAAGTATCATTAATTAGGATCTTTACAGAGACAGATGTAACGGAGAAAAATAATCCTTGAACAGTGAAGGACCTCGGCAGAGTAGAGAAGGGAGAGAGTGCATATAGGTTTTCGGAGGTAGGGGCGAGTGGAAGAGTTGTATATCTGTAATTTTGGAACCTGAAAACGTTTTTTCACTTCAGACCACAAAACGCGATATGCGTTGTGACGACAATTTTCTGCGTTAACACTGTGATCCTGACGACGACCTGGAGATTTCAACGCGCGATGAGAATAATAGCGAAACTTGCTCCAGAGACTTCAACGGACGGTAAAGACGCCGCATCTCGCCAGGTTCAAAGCGTTAACACGGCCGTTAACCCACTGACGACTGTCGGGATTTAAACATTTTAAAAACACTTATTAGTATTCCTAAGGAACCTATGTATACAACTGAGAGAAAAACAGTAGTTGCCAGAGTGTCGTCTGTGGATTAAAAAAACGTTTCCCACGATCGAAGGGAAGGGGGGGGGGGGGGGGGAGGGAGGATGAGGTAATGTGTTCCGCTGTCTGAATGGTCAGAAACCTGAAAAGAGTAGCAATTGGTATGTCCGGTGTGAGGCGTAGATATGCGAGATGAGTAAGAATCGTAGAATAGAGAGATATATTCCGGTAACATTTTGCTGTTGGGCTAAATCGAATCGAGAGAGAGAGATATGTAGTGAGAAACAGCTAAAAAGTAAGTAGTATAGATAAAGAGAGAAAGAGAGAGTAACAGAGATATAGATACAGCGAGAGATAGGTGGTGAGAAATGGTGTTTACCTTCCATGCATCCGTATTTAGTATCTGGCACAAAGCCGGGGGGACAGAACTTGCAGATAGGCTTGTGCTCCTCCACGTAACAGGGGGCATCAGCCGGACAGGTGGAGTTTCTGCATGGGTCCACGCAGCGATAGTTGCGGCACGCCAGATCGGGAGAGCAGCCACTGTCTCGCAGGCAAATGGACAGGGAAGGATTGCAGTTTTGTGTGCATATGCAGACGGGACGGTGGTCCAGGACATCGCAGGTCTTATCGGCCGGGCACGGACGTTTCTTACGTACGTTACAGGGATTCTGGCATTTCCCGTTCACGCACGCGGCGTTCGACGGACAATCGAAATCACGTGTACACGTCAACGTGTCCGGGGCGCATGTCAGTTCGCCGATCTCATTCACCACGAACCCGTACTTACAGACGCATGTCGGCCGGTGATTCCGTACCTGGCATCTCTTGTTCACCTCGCAGGCGTACTGAGGGCTCAGGCACGGGTCCCGGCACTCTCCTGTACGCGAATGACAGGCGAGACTCTCCGGACAGTCGTGATCGGACGAACAACCGATTGTCGGCGTGGGTCTGGGATTGAGCGTGTCGCATTTAGGATCTGGATGACAGGCGGTGCGGGGCATACCGATGTAACACTGCGGGCAGGAGCAACGCGGCTTGTGCAACACCACGCGGCACAGAGCGTTGATCCCGCAGGCGCCGCGCAGACCGCACGGGTCCACGCATTGCAGATTAATGCAGGCTTTTTCATTGGGGCACTCTAGGTCG